TTCCTGAGAGTTCCGGAAAATTATTGTTTTTTGGTTTTTTTTTTTTTTTTTTTTTTTTTTTTTTTTTTTTTTTTTTTTTTTGTTTTTTTTTGTTTGTTTTGTTTATTTTTTTTTGGTTCGGTGTTTTTGGTTTTTTAATTGCCCGTGTATTCGGATTTTAGTTTCATTTTAGTCTACGCCCTAAGAAACACGCTATATTGCACACCAAGTTTGCTTGCAGTGCAGCTGGATGGCTTAAGACAAGGCGAAAAAGTTTAGGTCACTGGGGGGGGGGTACCATATATATATATGTACACATACATATATATATATATATGTATTTGTATATTGTTATTAGCACATATTATATATATACACACATAAATCGAAATATACATATATACACATATATATTTATAAATGATTTATATATATATATATATATGCATATATGCCCTCCCCCCTCCATTTCGAAACCACTGCAAGCAGCGACTAAAGCACGGTGTTTCACAAATCCATAGCCGATGATTCCTAGAGGGGTGCCTATCTCTCCGGGTCCGCCAAAAGCAAAAAGCCGAAAAAGCAAACCCTCAGGGAAAATCTCCGAACTCGTGTTGCTTTTTTGGTTTTCCGGCCCTTGCTGAGCAGATAGTTGCCACTTGCGGACAAAGCAAATCCACCACTCGAGCCGAGAGGGGGGGGGCGGGGGGGTTTGCTTTTGCTACTAGCACATACTTTTTTCCCCTTCCCCCAATAAGCAAGACATCCACAGTTAACAGGAGCAGGAAGTACCGTTATGTATGGCTAACATCAAGGGCGGTCGGGGCTGAGATCCAGCTTTATCCATTTTTTAATGTGTGCTAGTCTCTGAGTTCTGTTCATGAAACCAGTGAAACTATGAGTGTTAAGTTAGAGGAGGTCAGTCGGAACAAGCAGTTGCTAAATTTGCATAGCCGAATGTCGGAACCGGATACATTGTTTCAGCGCATGAAGCATCACAGAGCATCAGGGGCAAGTTAGCTTGTTGTACTTTGGGGGCTATTGATTCCATGTATTGCAGCAACGGAAACAAATGGCTCTTGGCTTTAATCAGCGCATGAAGCATCACAGAGCATCAGGGGCAAGTTAGCTTGTTGTACTTTGGGGGCTATTGATTCCATGTCTTGCAGCAACGGAAACAAATGGCTCGTGGCTTTAATCTAACACGTATTCTCTTTTGCTGCATGAACAGGTCTAAGTGCACTCTCAGTAATTGGTGCCCACCCCTGGCCCCTAAATTAAACGTGTAGATAAGCCAGCTCATAGGATTACCATAGAGACAGGCCCGCTATATTCCTTCAAAAAAGTTATAGTATCTAAAATCGGCAGCGGGAATGTTGAAATATATTGTAGGACAGCTATTGGGACAACCTGCGCCAATTGAACTTCGGAGATGGCAGACTAGAGGCAATCGTCGTGTACGTATTCGCCATCAGCTTGACAACGAACGCAGCAGATTGGATGAAGCTCGAGAGCCTCCTCTACAATGGTTGCATTGGCTGTACTTGCGAGTCTGTTAATGTCGGCAAGCTGGCCAGGGTGAACACCATGAATCCGAACTGGCTCGAGCCACGCCCTTGGCATTCCTTTCATGTTGTCATGTTGTTTGCTGAATGAAGCCAGCTGCCCGGCCGCACGTTGCAGGTTGGTTCAGACGAGCCCAGATCCCACAATGCGCATGATGTACAGGCGCTCGAGCTCTGTGCTGCTGCGATGCTGTGTCAGTTCTGCCATAGCCTTCGTTCAGCCCTTCTGTTTGCCAGGAGGTTTGGGTCACTGTCCAAGACTGTCCAATACTCGGGAGGATGCAGGCGCAAACTTCAAGTGTGGTACAACATCGTACCCGAGGCCTACACCTTGGTACAGGCAATGCTTGGTGGCATCAGCTGGGGGGAGGTGTCGGATGTCCTTATGGACATTGATGTGCACCATGGCTCTGGGGCTTGAGTGCGCATCGCGCGTGGCGAGTGCCATGTGAACCACGGGGACGAGCCGAAAACTCAGCAGTCACACCAAGGATTTCACCTGCGCTGCTACTTCTGTACGTGGCCTTCACTATGCTTGCAGCGGCTGGGCTGTTGACGTGCAGTCTGCATTCATGAATCAAGATATACCACGAAGTGCCAAGATGAGCAAGCAGCGCATGCCGCTCCGCGATGTCCCCCCCAATGAGAAATTAATCTGTGTTTTCTATGCGTGTTGTTCTCGACGTGTGCCCTGCGCTGGCGCGGCAAATCACGATGAAACATGAAGTCCGCAAAGTGCTTGGCGAGGTCCTCAACGTGATCACAGGCACAGTCTGCTGCCTACAAGCTCAGGCCCGGACCGTCTCCTCTACCTGCATGCAGGTGCATTCGTGGACAATGCCTTGAATTTGGCAAGCCAGCAACGTGACTTCCAGATTGAGAAGGAGATAGAAACCAAGGAGCCAACTCTCGACGATGGGTGGCAGCGGCAGTGGGACAGTAGCACTAGCACGAAATCACGGCAGGACCAGTATGCGCGCCAGATTCGAGCCCTCTTCCAGCTGCTGCGATAAACGATAGTTGCACAGAGGGACACATGCCTCAAGGAACAGTGGCAGCCCATGCATGTGTCGAACAAAGGACGATTGATGACGATTGCTCTGGCGAAGTCAGTCGCAAAGAAATCAGGCGAAGTCATGTAGCATGCGTTGTGAGTCGTGACTAAAGCTTTTCTTTGTTGGAGGGAGATGCTGGAAGATGCCACGCTGTCGGCATACTTCCGAGTCCTCGGCTTTGAAACGACAGATGCAGACACCCTGCCGAGATACAATGTCTTTTTTCAGTTTGCACAAGCATCTTACGTCACGATCCAACGGCACCGACTCTTTCTGTTCAGTACATTCGGTATAAGGACCTGTTCTTCAAACTGCTAGATGTTGACGAGTCTGACACTGTCAGTATGCAGGACGATGGCAAAATTGGCAACACAGCGCAGTAGATCTCGTAGCTCACCAGTGATGATTTTTTGGGGCTTGAAGCCGCTCGTGGTGGGGACTTAGATTTTCCGCGAGCCGCGAGGAGTTTCTGGACGGCTGTGCTCGGCTCAAAGGGCCTGCTCGCAATATGGACGTACATGCCATATTGGCAGATGCTTGGTGCACAGGGTAGAGCTGCATCTTGCAGATAAGATGTGTTGAACATGTGGCCCGATCGCTGCCATTTTGACCGAGGAGTGCCGGCGCATTAGGAAGGTGCACCTTGTCTGCAGAAGCAGTATCGTTCCTTCGGCATCTGGTCCGAATACCGCCTTGCCTGACAATGCCAGCAATGCCCTGCTGTCTCCTATCTCCTCGGGCTCGCAAGTATGCGAGTGTTTCCATGCATCTCTTCAATATTCCCGGTGTGTGTGTGTGTGTGTATTGCACTTTCGCCCTCTTGGACAGCAACTGCTGTGAGTCGGGTCTCCCGTAGTGACTGTGACATCATGACAGGCTTGGACAAAAGAGCCTCCACAGTGGCGCCCACGCCAGCGGTGATGGGGAGATTGGTTTATCAGTGTCATGGTAGCGAAGAACTTCGCATCAGAAATTGCCCTGCATGAATGTGCTGGCTTTGTCTGGTGCGACTTGTACAGTGTGGGTCACATGGGTCACCTACTGCCTACTCCATCTTGCAAGATTGCCTTTGAGCAAGCTGCTGTAGGAACATTGGCAGCAGTATGGACAGAACGAAGGGCTCAGTCAGACCGTCGAACGTACCTTCATGTATTCTCATGTCCACACTGTCCACACTGTGTCAGATAATGGCTGCCCAAAGTGGCAACTCTTATGTCAGTCTGCCTGAACTTGTCCTTTATGGAACCGAGGCTCGAAGGCTGCAGCTGAAAAGGGAATTGGCATGACCAGGGCAAGAAGTTGTCTCACGACGCATTGTCATGGCAGGTCACTGCATGTCGGCCATTCATGGCTGCCTATGACAACGGCATTATGGTCTTGGGGCGAAACAAGCGGGTGGGAGAAGTTGATGGCGCAGGTGGCTCTGTCAAGACTTTTGAACCACACCTCGTATCAACACTTTCTGGAGGTGACCTCGCGCTTTGGACATTAAACTTGGATGTGCCGTACTGGCACCCGGTGCACACAGGCATTGTCACTTTCCATGGAGATTAAGCCGAGTTTGCATTGAATCCCAGCAGTTACCTGCCAACAAGCAATGTTGCAGAACATGCTCGTCAGGTGCTTCTCCCATTTGGGCTGGGAACTTTGCTGCGACCATTGTGGATGCAGACAATCACTCCATGGAGGGCAGAGGACCGCTGTGAGAAACGGCTACAAGACTCGAAGACATGCATTGCACATGACGTGCCTGCATTGCGGCCAGGTAAGTCGCTGCTGGTCTTCGGTGGTGATCATGCAGGGGAACCCAATGAAAGTCCGAGCCCCATCATGCACCATCCTGCATCCTGAGCTTATCCTGGATGGGACAGCACGATGCAGCACGCCCCAGGATCACAACCAGGTGTTCCTTTGGCACGTGGAGGAGCTTCTGCAAGCTGATCACGGGTGGACATGTTGTTTCACATGCCTCTGCGACAAGGACTCTGGCGCCTTGATCTTGCGGCACGTCCAAGCCAAATACTGCTGTGGACTTTAAGGTGGGGTGGAAATCCCGGATGAGACATACATGATAACCTGAAGATCCCACTACTGTAGGCGGGCTTTCCGAACCACAGGGGCCAGTCTGCCAGAAGACACCTTGCAGGCGCCCGCTTCTGGATCGGCATGCCAAGAGCATTGACACAACAACGTCCTTGCTTGTGTCCAAGAGCTGAGGTCATCATCAGTTTCACCTTGGGGCAACTGTTAGATGTTGCCGCCGCCAGTGTCCCAGCGTCCGAGCGTCCGAGACGGATAAAAAAAGGCACCTGGCAGAATGCCGCGAAGACCTTTCGTAAAGCTCTGCAGAACATGGCTGCAAGTGCGAGCAGCCGCTACAAATAGCATTGTGGCTTTGCAGATGGTCTCCACGGTTTCCGACATGCTCACCTCCGTGATCGACAAGGGCATCACCACGGACCAAGACTGGGCCCTGACACTATTCTTGGATGTGGTTTGCATAGTTGGCATAGTTTCGCTTTGTGAAATATAGCTATCAAGAGGTTGTCGACTTCGTGGGGACCATGGTGAACATGCTCCACACCAAGATCATCGTGAGATGCTCTGGGGCTCAATCTGGGCGTGATTGTTCTCAAACACAGGTCAGTCGACCTCGGCTACATCGCAGCAGATGCTTCTCTCGGATCCACGGCAGCGTCCCCGGAGGCTAAGAGTTCGGTGCGTCTGAATGCAATCCCGTGGGGGAGCCGCTAAGGACCTTGTAGATGTTGCTCTGGGCCTGCCCGCCGCCAAGATGTGTGCTTTCCAGCAGCGCAAGAAGCCGTGCACAAAACTGGCTTTGGAGGCTGTACGCTCTGGATGCCATCATCCCTGGTGTTGCAGCTGCCTTACTGTGCAGAGAGAGAGATATTGCTCTGATCGATGAAAGTTGGTCGTCACAACGCTGCCAGGTCCCATCCTATGAAGAGGCGGCCGCGAGGCGCTTGAAAGGCGGCCGTGGCATGGGTGGCAAGGTTCTGTGCTCAGCTCAAGCACATGGGCCAGGGCTGTGAGAAAGAGTCTTCAGCGTGCAGAAACCACAATGAAAGGAAGGGCTAGGAAACCACTTTTTAATCCGTTGAACAGTGCTGCATGTCCACGCTGTGACCAACTAGCAACCAGCTGACCATGTCACCACGACCACAAACAAACAGCAAACAGCTCTGCCTCTGCTTACATCCCCGGCAATCTGTCGCGCGAGCTGACAAGTTTCAGTGCACCTTTGAAGCCCGTAGTCGGCGTATGGAGGCTAAGGCTATGCAGCCACGTTGCGACGTCATGCCCAATAGCAGTAGCTGCCAAACCTTCCAGCTTTTTATAACCTTAATTTCTTTGCAGCACAGGCCAGAAACGAACTAGACTTCTTTGGGGCTCAGGGTGTGCCATGAGCAGGCTTCTAGACATGCAAAGCCAGGAGTTGTGCAATCGGACTGTGGTGTGTCAATACTCTCGATTGAGCTTCTGGGCTGGGAGATCAGACAGTGCTTCTGTCCTCCTTGTCTTGGTGGTCTTGGGCTAGAATGCTCTTGAAGTGGTCTTGAAGAGGAAGGAGATGGGCGTGGGGCGGGTCTCGCCTAGGTGCAGTGCTCGTTCGGGTGAAAAATCGCGCTCTCGCCTAGGCATCCTAGGCCTTAGGCACACGCGGGTTTCGGGTGTCGCTGCTTCGCAGTAAAGACCTGCGCCCCAGGTGAGGCTTGCATCGATCTGTGTCACGAAAACGTGGCCGGGACACACTTTCCTGCCTACCGAGCTCTTGAGCGGCTTCGCCTCGCGCGACCTTTCAGAGAGGATTTTGTTGGCATTTTGCGGCTTTTTGTAAAGTCGCGCTCCATCCTCGGTCCCGTGCGAGTTCTTCTGGAGAACTCTTGGGATGGTCTGCGAGTACTTTTGAAGTGGTCGGGAACAGCAGGCCTGAAAGCAGCTGGAAGGCTGAGTGGTGTAGCCACATCCCGATTGTCGCTCTTCGAAGTCTTCTGACATCCCCACACGAGGTGGAGGCACTTGAGCAGCACAGCTCAACGACCCCACAGCCCCATTCCCATCTTCCCGAGACGGCCTCTGAGGTCTCTGGCCCAAACATCGGTCACGTTTAATAAGGGGTAAAATGCCACGGGGCAAGTTTAAACCCCAGCCTTTTTCTCAAAGCCCCCATAATGCCATGCCCACCAGAAGCTAGCGTACAGGTTCCGGGGCAATGGACGCCTCGACGACTGCAGACCGAGACCAGAGATTTCGAGACGATGCCTGGCCTCTAAATCTTGCAAATCTCGGATGCGCAGAGTTGCCACAACTGAATCTCCAATCTCAATGAGGTATCAACACTTCCTTGTGGCAACTGCAATGATGAAGCAGCTGACGGATGTGTGGAACTTAGGGCGGTTGCAAACTCGACTGCAAGTCAGGTCGGCACTGGTGTGTATGCTCAGTCAATCAGTCATTTCGCCGGCGCCATATAGTTGCAGCGCTCCGCCTTCAGGTAGTCCATCTGCAACTTTATCCCGGTGAGGCGATGCGCTGGCACGAAAGTTTCATGATGTTTCATCTAAGCAAGTCTCGGGTCTCTCTCGGGTCTCGGCCCCCTCCGCGGCTTCAGGTGCCTGTCAGCTTTGCCCTGCCTGGCCAAGACATTTTCATGGGCCCGCTTCTGACATCTGCTGACATTTGCAGAGAGGGCAGAGTTTGCATGCATGCTGCCATGCTGAAGCACAAAATCCAGGAAAAGACTTCAGTGATGCGGATGAAGTGGCGCAGAATTATGCTCGAGTCACGACGCTGTGGCTCGACAGCATTGAAAGCCAGACAACATGTCATGCTCTTGATCACGGGATTAGGAAGCCCATTGGGTGTTTCTTGAGGTTCGACCTTCCAAGTCGCAGACCCAGCCGAAGATGGCAGCAATGATTTGTCTGCACATCGAAGAGAATATCTGGCGTTTCCAAAGTGTTCAGACTTGTTCCGAGTGTGCGCACATGTCACAGATCTTGAGGCCTAGAGCGCTCTGGGCTTCCGAGCACTTTCAACTACAGGTATGTGCAGTTCAAGCCAGCGACTTAGAAAGATCAGCACGTGTGGCTGTGGATAAAAGATGGAGTTCCCCGTCTGCTGACCATGCCCCCACAAATCTCCCACACCTTCAACAATGTTCAGGAAGTTCCCTTACGACTTCCTCGTCATGCCTGGAAACCGAAGTTTGCGTGCACCCGAGCGATGCTTCAAGCGATCCTTTCTCACCAATGCAAGCGTTGAATTTAAACATATTTAAACTTAGCTCAGGGAAGCGCCTGCTCCGGCGAACGAGAGCCGTCCTGAAGTGCAAAGCCTGGTGCCAGAGTCCCGGAGCAGCCTTGCAAGCAAGCGCAAGCAAGCCTTGGTTGTTACCCTGACATGTGTTCTTACATGTTGCTTCCTGCACGTGATCAGGCCACCACAGACTTTCAACGCGAGCCAGAGGCCACGCCCTGAGAGCCGGTAAGAATTGTGCCAAAAGTCGGAGAAGCTTGTCGCAGCTTGCCGAGAGTCTGAGGCCTTGGCACGCCATGTCTCTCATCATTACAGACGAGGTTGGGTAGACGCTGAAGACGCTTGAACTTATCGGAAAGTCAATGGGGAAATATGGGAGGCTGGAGAAAGCAACCTCCTCGAAAGGCCACCTGCAAGATGTGCAAGATGGAGGGATATGGAGGGATATGGAGGGTCTCTCTGAGCCTTAGAGCCCTTTTAGGCCCTTTTGCGCAGCAGGTCCATCGAGAACGCTTCATTCTCAATGTTGCCGAAGATTGCCGCGTGCCGTCTGCAGATGCGATGCTGCCGTGCTTTGAAGGATGGCAGGGCAGGGATCCCAGAAACTGTGGAGGTACGATGGCACCAGCCTGGCCAACGTCGAGTTCCATCCTCAGCAAGTCAGGAGCAGGTATGGCAAGGTATGTGTGACCCAATACAGTGTGTTACCGCCTTAATGGGATGTACGGGCTTGGCAGGAACCCGTCCACGTGCTACTGGGTGGACCTGGGCAGCGGCAACTTCAGCGAAGCTCTGTTCGATGCCCGTGGCTCCTTGTTCAGCGAGGAGGGTCACAGACCCTGACATTCTTAGAAAGGGTGCGAGAAGCGAAGGTGCCTGAACACCTGCCTGAAGGATTCTTGCATCACCATGCACATGGAGAACTTTGTTGTTCTCGCTGATGACCTTGCTGCAGAGTCCGGCTCTCTGGCAGTCCGCCAAGTACACTAGAGAGAGATTCGGAGGGTCAAGTGCTTTTGCACCTCAAAGATCTGATGTCTGATGGAATCGGCATCCATAGATGTGCGCAATCGAGACACTTGCGTGCAGGCTTGACGTTGTCCAGCAGGAGTCTCCAGGAGAATTGCTGAGCGGAGCGCTCAGACTTGCGTCCGCTGCACAAGGCATAGGCCTTGCCTCGTGAGGTCAGTACGAGGATGATTACACGACCACGGCCAACGTCGTCACCGCGGTGGGGCTTCATGTTTGCTAGCGTCATAGACGGAATGCCATATAACCTTTGGATGATGCTTAGCTACCACTTCCCACTTGGCAGACACTCGTGCTGGTGGCTTGCGCCGGGTTCGTGCCAAGCTAAGCACAATTCAGGGTAAGGATGCTAGTAGCGGGCATCTGCAGCACTACTGTGTACTTTGTGCAAGGTCATGGTCTCCGTGTATGTGGACGAACACGATGCAGCGAACAAAGTTCACAGCTTACTGGCTTCCTTGGGCTTCCTTGCAGTCATGACAGTCATGTGAGCCCATGTCATGGACTCCTACACCATAAGGCTGATAAGGCTGCTGATGATTGCTAATTGGTCGGAGCAAAGTCTTGTAGCAGTGGATTGTGGTGGATTTGCGTACTTACACGAGTAGACCTGCTTGATCATGCTTGTGTTCGATGCTGTGTGCATCATATGGGGAAGGTGAATTCATCAGAGTGAAAGCTCGGGCTTGGAGGTCACTCCGCTGGATAGCCTCAGAACGCAGGTCATTGCCGGCCCCTTAGTCAAATCGCACAGCTTTCTCATCCACTGCTCATGGGAGTCACTGGAGTGCTAATGTCATGCCCACCTTGCTTTCAGCAGTGCTCCAGCAGGATCGTGAGGATCCGAAAGAGAAAGTCTTGGGGACCATCTTCCAATCGATGAGGTACGTCAGTTTCAGCTTCGCTCGCTGTCAGCAAAATCTTGACGCTGCATGTTTCGAGCCAGATGTCGGGACCACGTTGGGACAGGTGGTTGGCGGGAGGATCTCACCAGGGCTAGTTCAGGTGACGTGGCCATGGTGGCGAGAACCCCTTTTAGACCTCGAGCAGCTCTAGCGGCCACTGGCGGCCCTAGCGGCTACAAGCGGCCCAAGCTAAAAAAACTCAGAGGGGTCGGAATGCTTTAGATGTTTTAGCTGGCGGACTCTTAGGCTCCGGCTGCCCAAGGCCTCGCAAGGTTTTCCAAACGACCGAATTATTTTGCGAATCCAGCATGTTGGCATGTTCGAGCATGTTCGAGCATGTTCTCAGCACAGGGGTACGTAGAGATCTTGGGTGGTCTTAGGACGGCAGGTTTGAGGTCGGACATCTGCCTCAAGGGCATCGGGTGCATTCCAATGCTGTAGCCGTAGCTGTCTGGCACGTGCAGGCGGAATCACCTGGTGATTGGTTGGAACTATTTTCATCTGAAACTTACACGTGTGCGAAGGGCCAGGCTCTTGGGTGCTCTTGTAGGTAAGCTTGTAGCTGTGTCCTTGGGCCAACCGCATGCCGTTGAGGCGGGGATCTTCGTTGTGGCAATTTTCGCCACAGAGGCCTGGACACAGGAGATGGTGTCTCTGCTTGTAGCTCTGAGTCGTGAAACGAAAAGTGGGGTAACTGGTTTCCACGCCGGCAACTGTCATGCTTAACGCAACAGATGGGCCATGCAAGCTGGCTTAAGTTGAGTGCAGTCAAAGTTTAGTCAAGTCATGCTTTTAAAGTCAGGTTTCAGGTTTCTTAAACAAACTAGGGCTCATGGGTGCTGCATTCGTATTTGCATTCGCTAGGCCCGTAATGGGCACGCAAGGCAGGTAAAGAGCGCCAGCACCCTGTGCACAAAGGCGCTGGCTGTGCTCCAGCACTCCCTTCTGGCTTTCAAGGCCTGCTTTCACAGTACAGCTGTCTTGGTGCAGTTTTTTGTTGAACGGGGCGCTTCTTGCCTTGGTTCTCTTGCATTGTCTCGCTGCCTTCCCCAAGGTCGACTCAGCTTGGGGAGCCAGCGGGCTCGTCGCTGCTGTTCTGGTGTTTCCATTGGTGTGGCGCTCGCAGATTCTGCAATCACCCATGGGGGTAGTGCACGCAATCGTATGAATGAGTTGAATTCTTACGTATTCTTGACCGTCAGGCTTTTGTCAGTTTTTGTGCGCTACATCACACGCGGACTGTGTCCACGCATGGACTGTGGCCACTGAGCTCTGTACTCTACGCTGTCTCTCGTCAGTAGCCGAAACATGATACCTAGCAGACCTAACACCTGACTACATTTACACGAAGCCTAGACACGGTCATACCTTCCCTGCAGCCATGTGTGACAAACAAACGGTGCTGCATGAAGTACGAATGCCTTCGGGGCCTGCTTTTGGGGGGACTACTTGCAAGATCTGACGGAGATCCTCGCGGAGATCCAGGCGACCCTGTGCGATGGGCCTGTGAATTTGCCGAGGGCCATGAGGGCCGCTTAAGCACTTGGCAGATCGTGAAGAAAGGTATGTGGGATCGAGTCCGTGAGGCCAGAATTGTATCAATGCATCCAAACATGTTGATGCAAACGGCAATGACTTTAGAGTCGCCTGAAGCAGTTCATGAGTGCCCAATGGGATTGTTGGCTTGTCGCTTCTTCCTCGTGGATATTATTCCCAGCTTGAGTTCTCATCATGATGATGAAGATACTGTGGCAGTTTGGATGGAAGAGCTCTTGCATGAGCTTTTTGACACGCCCTGGACAAACATCCTGAGCTCTGGGTGGCCAATCTTTGGACTGTTAGCCCGTCTTGCAAAGCATCAGTTCACGACATTCAAGAAGAGCGAGAGCGAAAGCATTTGGCAGGGGATATCCTTGTCACCAACCCTTTCTGCCAAAAACGCTTTAGCTGACTTGGGAGAAGTGCAACAGATGATCCTTAGGACTTTGCGTGACAGCGGGGCTCAGTCCACGGGCTCTTTGCTAGAGAGTTTTGTCCAAGAGGGATCTGCAACTTTCTGGTCGAGACTGTCCTCCTTCAGCGAAGATTTGATCTTCAACAAGGCACTTCAACTGGGGCCTTTCCTGCATTCTGGAGCAGAGCGAGTAGCTCTACATTTTTTGCGCCACCTCCATGACGATTTCGCTGGATCTTCTGGATCTATGGATCTGTTCCTCCAGCGCATTTTGGCATACTTCTCCAGTCGGGCCCTCTCAGACATGAGGTGCTGGGATGTCGGAGCGGCGCCGTGGCCAGACGAGTCCAATCGTCACGACCGGGACGTTTGGGAGATCTGCGCGAGCTCTGGAATGGCTGTGGAAGCCTTTGAACCATCCCAAGCCGGCTTCGACCGCCTTCAGGCTGCCGTGGCTGCCGTTTCGTTGCTGGCCCCAGTGCAGGCGCACCAGCTGGCGCTGTCAAATGCTACAGGCCTGAGCGGTTTTAACCGCGGAGGCCAGGTCACAGGATCGCTTGGCCGGCGCGGCTGCAACTCGGCTTAAGATTAAACGATTAACGCATGAACTGCGACACCGTGCGTGACAGTCGTTAATTAGACTCGTCAGACTCGTAGCTGTTGGATGTAGGCACTGCAGGCACCGCAGACATGCGCCCGGGGTAGGCGGGAGGATTTCAACCGCGACATCTAGAGGCTCAAGGCCAGCAGGCCAGATTCCGTGCGGGAACGATTTTGTCCCGCCCACTGAAGCTTTGCTCGATGGGAAACAAGACGTCCCAACAGAGCATGGAGGGAGCCGTTGCTGCCGGCGTTGCACAGGGCCTGAAGAGCGAGACGCGCTGGAAGCTCAGAGTGTGGGTGTATCAACACATCACGACATTTTTCCCAGGCACTTTTATAACTTGTTGACTGTACCGGGCACGATCATTGCAGCAACGTGGCAAGCGCACGTTGGTTCTGACTTCTATATATGTCCGCGCCATTGTGAGCGCGAGCGTTCGTGCGAGTGAGATTTCGAGGGCGCAGTTGGGGTGTCGGAAAGGCAGGCCGGCGTGCGGGCGTGGGTGTGAGACGGAGTCTGTGTGTGTGTGTGTGTGTGTGTCTCTCTCTGTGTCTCTGTGAGTCTCTGTGTGTCTGTCTGTCTGTCTGTCTGTGTGTCTGTCTGTGTGTCTGTCTGTGTGTCTGTCTGTGTGTCTGTGTCTCTGTCCGTGTGTCTGCATCTCTGTCTGTGTGTCTGTGTCTCTGTCTGTGTCTGTGTGTCTCTCTGTGTCTCTCTGTGTCTCTCTGTGTCTGTCTGTGTCTGTCTGTGTCTGTCTGTGTCTCTCTGTGTCTCTCTGTGTCTCTCTGTGTCTCTCTGTGTCTCTCTGTGTCTCTCTGTGTCTCTCTGTGTCTCGTTGCGTGTGCGTGTGCGTGAGTGTGCTTGCTTTTGACAGCCTTTGGAAAGTGGGATAGCAATGTCGACTAAGGAGTATTTGCCTCGTTTATTCCACAGCAAGTTGGCCCACCAACGAAGTATGCCCCTTGCACTGCATTTACAATATGCTTTGCAAGCCAGGCCATTTACATGGGTCGTAGAGTCGTAGACCTGGTATGAGAACATCGCTGTCGCTGACATGGTCTGAGAAGGCAATGAACCTCAGCCACTGGATGCACTTGATCCTCATCTTGCAGGCAGGTTGCTCGCAAGGTTGGCTGGTTGACCAGCCTCGTGTCAGTCCGTCATCAGCTGTCGAAGCAGCGCCAGGCGGCTGCTTGCATTCTTCGAGGCGTTGTCCTGTTTGATGTCCTGGGCTGCTTCTGGATGGCCTTGATCTGTGCTCTCGGCTGGTATTCCTGGTACCATGATACTCGGCATCAAGGCTTTTTAGTTCACCTGTCCTGGTGGCCCTACAGCGATTCCACACAACCAGGCTCGCTGTGTGCTCATCGGTGCTCAGGAAATGAATATCACGTATATTTCTCTTTGGGGACTCGCATGCACCCTCAACACCCTGCTGGACACACTGGGCTTCATCATCCCTGTAGCCACGGGCTTGATCAAATTGGAGCTCCTGTCAGCTGTTGTGCGCGACTTGTCTCTTGCAGAATCGAGTGGGAGAGAAGTGAGCGGGAAGATCTGGTCACACAAAGGGTGAAGAGGTCGTGAGATAGTCTTCTTGTTGCTGTTGATGTTGCTGCTGTCGCTATATTTTCTGAGCTGACAGGAACCGAACCACCACCCCCCCACATCCCATCACAACTTCGCTACTACAAACTGACCGTCCCGTGATTTCACAGGTGAGCTTCATTTCCTGGCTAGACCCTCCGCCTTTCAATCGTAATTGCTCAACTGCGGAGCCGAGACCCGCCGAAAGGGCAAGACAAATGTAATATGGCACCCGCTTGGCCTTGCATCGCTCATATCCTTGCAGGTAAAGACCGGGTGACCGAAGTGGTAAATCGTTGGGCTGGTGGCGGTGCTTTTGCTAAGGGTGGTCAAGCGGTAAGTCAGCTCCAACAATGCAGGTATCGGGACGCCTTGCACAGAAATACTCGGAGCTCTGTTTGCGTGGCACTTGTACCGGGAGTACCAGTTCTCTCATGGCATGGAGCCGGTCTCCAACATCGATCCACTCGGCAGGAATGGCGCATGAGTTCGGCTCGTGGCATTTGCATCATTTGCACAGCTGCGCATTGAAGCCTGATTACCTGATCCACACAGGACCTTCGATGACTATGACCCAGAGTCGAACCCAATCTTCAAGAACATAAGCGCAGCTGGAGGACAGGCAGAAAGATTTGCACAGCGCCAGTACCAGGACCCCGGGGAAATCTAGGGACCTTGGGGACCCTTGCCCATTCCCCTGCCCGCATGCACTGCACTGCTTATCGGCCAGCTGGCAAGGCGGTCAGCCTTTGAAGATGATTTGTGCTTTGGCCCAGGACCGCTATGGTAGCGCGGACTCCTTTGAGACATCCAATCCTTTTCAAACAGGTCCACCTCGCAAAGCAAATGCTGGGTGCTGCTAGCTGCTGACTTCTGACCTTACGGTTGAGGATGCTGAGATTGGCCTATTGATCAGGCCTTGACCATGAAAAGACGAAAAGACACTTCTGCACTATCAAGTCTGAGCTTGTTTTTCGAGAAGTGCTTGGTGCAGCTCGGTCCAGCAAGGTGCTGAACGAAGCTTTAGACAGGTGGGCATGCACCGTGACCCTTTGACTCTTGCAGGTGCCAGACAAGCAGCGTGGGGGTCTAGTTGGGTTCAGTTCCTTGATGCACCCTCTTTGGTAGTCCAAGTCAGCAATGTAGCGCTTCCCACCTTGTTTCAAAGCATTTAAGGCGGACGCTGGGTGAGCACAGACGAGTGCCAGGACAATCATCTCATCAGACTGTAACTACACCAACTGAAATTACATTCCACAGTTGTTCTGAGCCCGCCTCATTCTTTGACTTTGTACATTTTACTACAATTTTAATACTTCTCTAGCGTACCCAGCTCCGGCCTGTTGATTCTGAGCTTCCGGCTTTTAAGATTTATAAAGGTCCCGGTCTCGCCCAAATATCTCCTGGCCCGGAAACCAAGGCCTCACTTCACGTTTAAAACCAACCTTTCGTTGAAATGGCCTGGCTGCCAAGTACAAAAACTTCAGTCTTTTCGAGTTTTTTAGGGGCAAAGGATGATGCGGGGCTTAGATACGCTTAGACCATGCAGGAGGCGCAGAGATTCAGACCGGGGGGAGGCTGGGGGGAGGGGCAGGGGGAGGGGCAGGAGGGGGGCAAAAGAGGGGAGGGGTTTCAATTTCTAATCTGAGGTCCACACTCCGCGGCACTGTGAACCGGAAAACTTGCAAAACAAACTTTAGTTTTGCCTGGTTGGCCCAGGACCCCGACAGTTGGGAGCACGTCAACGTCACAACCGCAGCATGCTCGGACAATGGTGAAACACGTGGCTTAAAGAGCAACTGATGACGCATTTGGCAACCTTCCAAGCCCTAAGGTGGACCATTTTCTCGGAGAAAGCAGCCTTGACATTCTCAAGGCGGGTGTGTGTGTGAGCAACACACGGCACTCAGAAGACCAGAAGATTGCAGATGGTGCCTGCAGGTTGATGTGGAGGGTCACGAGTGGCATGTGCTGCAGGGTGCCAAGTTGGCACTTTCGACCGCCAGGCTGGACGGCAAATTGTCGAAGCTGGACGTCTCAGCTGTCTGCCCACCAAGTTCTATCCATGGTTGCGTGAAGGATTGGTCTTGTGATAGTGGAGTATGGCGACAAGTGGTCCGACGACACGTCCCAGGCGTCCACCCAACGCAACATGTGTTCAGAAAGTCCGCCCTTGATCAAGTTTGTGTTGCCGACTGCGCTAGGCAGCCCGGGAGTTTCTCGCAAAGCACCACGGGGCTTCTTGTATGCGTTTGCAGAAATGCGAGTCTCAGGCCTTAGGCATGTAGTTGCGTTGCATTGAGTTGAGGCTCCACAGACTGGAGCCGCAGAGCCAACATTGTGCCTTGATAGCGATAGGTCTTAAGGATACATCAAGGTTCCGTACCGAGGAATAAAATCCGAACGGAAGCTGCGATCACATTTTCAAAGAGCTGCCGTACGAGTTGGGGCATGTCAGGGCTGGCAGCGAATAGAGCTTTGGCAGTGTCATTCATGATTTTTGCAAGGACCCTAGCCAGGTCGACATGTCAAGATCAGCTTCCGCTAGGGCAGACAGATGCTGTCTGCATTGACTGGCCCCTACGTGTAGTATCTTGTGCATTGTTAGGGGCCATGTAGCTCATGCGCAGGGAGCTGGTCGTGCGTTTCATGGAGTCCATGGAATACGTTTCTCGGCTGGGCAGTTTCGGCCATGTTGAACCCCGCAGGCATTGTCTAGGAACGTGGCATCACTGCTTCACGGTCTAGTTTGAGGTGAGCGGGTAGATTGTGGGCTGAGGATTGAGAGGCCTTTGAGGTGTTAATCGAACGCTTGGCTTGAGGAAGGGTACTTCGTCGGCTCAAAGACTGCTTTGCCAATCACTGGAGCTGCCAGACAGCAAGTACACACAAATCTGTAAGTTCATAATAGCACACGTTTTATGTCAATGCTGTTTGCTGCAAGTGCTGAGTACATGTTGGAACAACAAGCAGGTATTTTGGCACTCCGCTGCGCGCTAAGTTCGGTTCAGCGTGTCGGGTTTGTTGCGTGCTGAGCGTATGAATGCTGTGAATGCGGAGCCTGGCAGGTGTACGAGGTATGTTTGGCGCCACATCGTGTGTGTGCCCAGGACGCAGTTTCAATCCAGTGGATAGTTGCGTTCTTCTCATCAGATGTGTTTGACGCCTTAGCCCATGCCGAAAACAAACATCGCCTCAGGCTACAGTGGTGTTGGGCAGATCTGCTGGCTTGATGTGGCCTTTGTCCATCGAAGGCGCATCTGCAAGCAAGAATTAGAATAATATATTCGAACTCAAGTAAGAATATGCCAGCGTAGACCCCAAACAGTATGAGAAGATCATCTCAAGACCGCGCGTTCATTCCAGGAGCACTCCGGAACCAGTCCAAGACCGTTCCAAGAGCACTGCAAAAGCTTACACCAAGCCAAGAGCTCTTAGAGTCTTACGGTAACCACTCTAAGAGCACTCCAACTCCAAAACCAGTGTTAGAGCACTCCTCATGATCCCGCCAATAAGATGATACAAATTTGCTCCAATTCGAGTTGAACGAGTCGATGAATATGCGCCCTTTTGCCGGCCATGCAGACCTGGCGAGGCACCCCCTTGCAGCTGCCATCAAACAATCGCTGCTGTGGCCGGACATGGTTCTCGCTGCGGAAAAAAACTAATCTGCAGCCGCTGCTTCGATATGATACAGCAGCAAAGCGCATGTCGCGACAGCATGATTTGTGCTTTGAGGTCCAGTTCCTGGAGTTCTGCTTTGAATGGCTTCCACAGTCGAGGCGCTTCACACAATTGCACCGCTTTTTCTCCCGTAGCAACTGCCACAACTACGTGCACCACTTGCAAAGTGGCTGTGCAGGGTGCTTTCCAGACCGCCCCCACGATCAGCACCGGCCAAGCCTATACCGCTCAAAGAGCAGGTGTGTAGCCCAGTGTGTCGCCCACAGGCAGCATGTTCTGCTCGTCCTACTGAATCAAGTCGCCAAGGCGCAACCGAAAGTTTGCAAGTATCCCAAGAGGCGAGACGAGCTTTTTCACAGCGGCACCTCCATGTCCATGCGCAAAGCACGAGAGAAGGCAGTTTTTATCAGGATGTGTCAAGCTTTTTCAAGAGGCCTGCAGTGGGTAAAGTTCGTCCACCACAGCCGAAAGCACTACCACGGGTCGAGCAGAGCTTGCAACTCCCGGCCGGGGCCCTGGAGCAGACACGCAGACACGAGGAGACACCAGGTCACTAGGTCAGGGATGCCAACACCAATTAGCGCTGTGAAGTTGTGAAGTTGTGGAGGTCATGCCGATGTTGCAACTAAACAAAGCAACAGGGTACGAGCCTCAGGTAGTGCAGAGGGCAGGACTGGATTCGGGGACACTGGACCTAGAATCGTCCAGGATCCAGCTGCTGGCAGAACTTAAGCGTTAGATGATGTTGAAAAACGGGTGCAAGAGAAGAGGCTTGCAAGCATGTCTCGGCAATGATATCCTGCAGCGAATATGCTTCAAGCATCTCACTCGAGCGTTTATCTGCGTAGCTGCCATGCTGCGAAAACCAACAACGGTTGCAAGACGACTTGCGCAGTGCCAGTCCCGTCGCACGCAGAAAGGCACTGCTCGCAGCACCAATCTGGAGTCTGCAGCACCCACTACAGCTTGGCACGTGCGGTCTCCAGAGCAGCTAGCACTTATCACAACTCTGGGCAACCTGGCCTCCCTCGGATCAGCAGCAACCCATGATCACATAATGGTTCGCCTTCTTGCAGGACTTTCTTCCATGGTGTCGGTGAGCTACAATCTGCTTATGCCGAAACCGCTGAAGGCACACCAGACCACTGCGGCAGCGTGGAGCTGTGTCTTTGCAGTCCTACATTTCGCTAATTTTGCTCTGCTTGTGCGAGAGAATCAGCACTCGACAGAGCTGACCGATGAGCAGGAGGACATTTATGAACATGGCTTTCAGATCCATGGCGTCACGCCGCGCCAATTCAGACTGCTGCTTAACTCAGGGGCCAGGTTTCGAGACTATGATGCCGGAGAAACTATTGTCGAGCTCGGGAAACCTGTGGACAAGGTGATCTACATCACTCACGGCTCTTGCGTGGGTGAGCGTGGTGCAGGCTGTGTTTGCTTGGAGTACCATCAGGCGTGGCAATGCGTGGCATATACAATGCTAGTAGTGCTAGAGAGGTCAGAAAAGCAACCTTGGGTGCCAAAGACTATCAGACAACAACACCCCCTGTGGTTTTCCACGATTGCTTGTCCCGGAGAGAATAGGTGTTCTCTGCCAGAACAAGTTGCAAAGCAGAGTGCTTCTGTAACTTTGTATCTTACAACTTCGAATACGTCCACGCATCCTTCTGCGGATGCCCAATGTCCGAGCGTTCAAGTCATAAAGGATAGCTTGGACACCATGCGGCTCGATCGCAGTTGAGGTCCACGCTGTCTAGTAGTTTTCTTCACCTGGGTCCTGTGGTGCCCATGCCTTTTGCACCTGTTCTCCAGGGCGCTGTCTCTGCATGGCCAGTTTCTGCAGTTTTGTGCAGGATGTGTTCATTGGGCAGCTGCAACCGAAAGCATGGCGGGAGGAGTATACCGGGACAGGCAGCGAGGGCTCCAGTGATGAGAGCCTTGGATGAAGTGGCCTAAATCTTCACTCGCATGTTTTGTGCGCACAAATTGACAATTCAGGAACGAGTCAGAATCAAAAGAGTCGAAAGAGGATGACTGGTTGATCGAGAAATGCGCAGCCAGGACATGGATCCAATATGTTCCAATCATCGCAATTCTTGCGCGTGCCTTCCGCAGTGACAAAAACATACTGCAGCAATGCTTCAGGCGGAAGCGCTCTCCGAAAGACTTGCGCAAGCTGCTCGAGGTAGGCTTGGCGGAGCGTTCTGGCCCGACGACGAAGCTTCAGGCATCCTGCGGCGTGTTATGCGCCGGGGTTTCATGGCGAAAGAGGAGGAAGAGAAACGCCGAATCATGAAACGACCCGAAGCACGCTAAAGACCAGACGCGTTTCAGATGAGGAATGTCGAAGTCAAAGCTGGGAGCACAGCAAGAGCAACAGCAGCAATAGTACGTGCACATCAAAAATTCAGTTTTATTAACATTCAGCCGCGACACCCAAAGCAAAGATGAAATGCATGGGGCAGCTGCTAGCTGGCAGTTCTCTTAAGGAATGGGTCGGGTGATGCACGTAGATCATGAAGCTCTTCGATTGTTTACGAGACATTCGAAAGGGGGCCGGGTCTACACCGGGTCCAAACTCTGGTTTTGTCGCCTACAGGCTGTCGCAATACCTACGCCTGAGTCTTAGGGCGAAGGCTTTGAAACTCTATGTGGAAGGCGGTTCGAATGTTGTACAGCTTGGGGCAGCCTTTGTTGCCTTGCAAACGCAAGGGCGTTCGCGTCCACAGGCAATCAATCAGTTAATCGAATGGCAAATCTCCAACGCTCGGCAGCCCACGACCCGACAACAGAAGTGACAAGCGACTAGCCAGCGCCTCCCGCAACAGCACGTTTCCTGCAAGACAACATGGGCCCTACATAGTATCATTCATGTTGTTCTCCGGCAATGGGAGGACCTGTGGTGGCACAAAAGTATGTGCGTGGAGGGTTTAGCGTGTCAGTGTAGCAACAGCATTTGCAAGGCGAGCAGTGGGGAATAGTGCGTTGAGCTCCAAGAAAGCGAAACTCAACCCTCCCCCTGGACGCGGCATTCCTTGCATGAGAGTACGAATGAATTCAAGCAACAATTTTGAAGCCCCCCGGGGCCCCGGGGGATGTCTCAGATTCGAATAGCAGAAACACACATCCAGACATGACGAGTTCAAAAGTAGCCCACTCCCTACTCCCCCTAGGTTCTTTGGCGTGACCCTGCACACAGTCACGCTGTGACACCGGTTCCTTGTTCATCATTGTATGTGCCACTTCTATGAGACTTGTTTCGGGTTCGTCTGGCTTGCCGTGCAGACCACAAGTCGTTGGAATCTTAGAAGTCGATGTGCGGATCGGAATTGCCGGGACAGTCGGGGGCGTATGCCTCAACATTGGTGCTGCATGTGCTGCACAGCTGAGAGTAAACAGGCTGGGGAAGATTGGAAAAGCACCGTCAAAGCTGGTCGCGACGGCTGCCGAGCCTGAGCCTCAGATCCGGCATTTAAAAAATCAGTGCTTGGTCGAAGGTCCCAAGGAATGATCGGACGAACTGGGCAGAGGGGGACCACCCAACACAACGTTGGCACAGGCACGCAGAATACACGACCGTCAGAGGTGGAAGCAACCAAATCTTTTGAGACCCCTTCTCGAACCATCTCGAACCATTGGGATGTCATAGTGATGTCCTCATCTGGCCAAAGCTAGGTGGAAACGGAGAGTGTATGACAAAGCGAAACTTGCGCCGGCAAGGGCTTCACTTCTTCAATGCATATGCCCCCTGGGCCGAAGTACCGCAGGTGGCACTTCACAGCACACTGCAATCGTGCCCGCTCCAGCGGCGTGGGCCTGCGGCGAAATGCGGTAGCAAGGTTCGTGTGTCATCCTTCAGTCTGCTGCGCTTCAGTCCACGCTTCAAAAAAGCCTCGGGTGTCACAACAACCGTTTCAAGCTCGCAAGCAAGTACATGAAATGATGTGGAATGTGTGTCTGAAGGGGTGTGTTTGTGTGTGTGAACCCTCGGTCACGTGTACACTTTCTGGGATATGTTCGGGGCAAATTCGCGGCGCATGCGGGCATTGTCATCATCAGTCTGCTTTGCTCAGGCGCTGATCTGGCCAATCGGGAGGTTCTCCTGCACGGTCGGCTCCAATGAAGCACTTTGCAAAGCCATGGAACACATGCCACTCTGCCGCTTTGGTCGGCTTATCCGATGTTGATTTCCTTTAATGTCTTCCATGATGCAGTGTCCAGCTGAGGTGTACTCTTAGCCTCGCGTCGAAGATTTGTGCGGGTGCACAAGGGAAGGCGCTGGAAGGCTACTTTGAGCTTTTGTCACTGGTGGTCAGGGACGGGATTGTGGACCCGCAGGAAAGACATGCACTGTCGAGATATCGATCACGACACGCCATACCAGACACAGAACACTGGCACATGTTGGACCAGCTGGGGTGGTCGCTGGAAGAGTACGACCATGGCTTCCTGAACTCCAAGTACGATCTGTCATGGAGAGCATGGACGGGCAGTGGTAAGGCTTGGTGGTCAGGATGGTGGAGTTGATGTGATCTGAGCCTCTTTGCGTCGAGCCTTGAAGTTCAGGTACCTGCACAGCAGGATTGGCGTAAGGCTTGGCAAAAGGACTACTGTCACGGCAATCTTGTCATCTTCTTGTCATCTGGCAGCCCAAGACGGGCAGCCAGAAGTGAGAGCGGCGGAGGTCAAATTGGTTGATGGAGCTGAGAAACCTACCCGCATGCTATAAGGGATGCGGTACATGATGCTGTATTCGCCTGCTGCGCATGCACGCGTCCGTGGCAGCAGGCAGTCGCTGAAAAGCCGGCCTCAGCCGCCAGCGCGACCTCCAGGGCAGCTGCCCCGTCCCCCACAGGCAACAGCGAAGCAAGAGAGTCAAAGAGAGCGTCCAAGTCTCAAAGAGACAGACGACAACGGCAGATGTGCATCATGTGACAAACAGGAACCCCCGCCAGCTGGACACCTGCTGGCACGGAAGGAGCCAGCTCCCAGCGCCGCCCTCACCGGTCCAGTCACCGGCCCGAAGCCAAGTGTGCCGGAACAGTGCCCTTCCGGAGCCAAACCTCAAGACTTCTCCCCTTTCAACTCTACTGTTGTGAAAGAAGAGTGAAAAAGAAAAGAAAGAAGGAGAGAGCGTAACTGTGCAGAGAGAGAGAGAGCGTGTACTCTTCTGTTGATCCTGAAACCTCAAAACGCCTGGACGAGACCCCACGAAGACCGTGGCATGTGCCTGACAAAACTGACCGCGGCTCCCTCTCGGGGAGGCGAAGCGTGTGGAGAGAAAGAGAGAGCGGGAGAGAGAGAGAGAGAGCGCGTGTGCGCCGAAAGAAAGATTGAAAGAAAGAAAGAAAGAAAGAGAGAAAGAGAAAATAGAGAGAGAGAGAGAGCGGGGGAACGATCGATGGCGGCGAAGGTTTCTCAGATCTTTCTCGGCAGCTGCCAGGGACGTGCGACACCCAGCTTTCGCATGAACAAAGCACATGGCCTTCACGGCACAGATCGCAACTCCGCAAGGATTGGACCTTTTGGTTTAACCTTGCCAGAGCTTCCACCCCTACCACATGGCAACCTCAAGGCACAATCCAGCCCATGCCAGCCTTGTAGTGCAGAAGCCATAGCTGCAGCTTGGTTGGTCCTTACCTGAGTAGTTGCTAGCTTGACAGGGCATGCATTCAAGAAGTGCTGATGCTTCCTTTCATATTGAGAACTCAGTGGCGAAATCATCCCCTGCGCCCTGTGGTGACGCGACCGCTTTTTTCACAGCTGTGCGTCTGCACGGAGCTCGGCCCATGTCGGAGTACAGCAACAGCACTTGCACGGTGCCGAAAGCACAACTGGAAAGACTGTGCTTCGGCGTCCTTCATATATACCCTGCGTCGACAAGCGTGGGAGGCAATCGGTAGCAAGGTATCACTTCAAGACACTTGTTAAAAGCCTCAGACTTGGGCCGTGAGGCCATACCAGAAAGGGACGACAAATCAACGATAAGGGGCGAACATATTTCTGACATCCTGTGTTGTCCTAGCGACTCGATGTTTGAGAGGCTATCGCTGATGGAACGCCGATGCCTGCACCACCGCCCAAGGGTTCTGCTGGACCAAGGCAAGACCAAATTGATCAGCTTAATGCTTGCAGCAGCTTTCCGCTTCTTCGGCTTGGTCCAACAGTAATGAATTGTGCTGCTTCGTAGGCCACCCAAGACGCCGCCACCGATGAACAAGATGTTCTTCGCAAGAATCTCAAAGTCCAGCATGCCAGTCAGCTCTCAACAAGGGACACAACGAGTGTAACGAGTGACTTGTCAAGTGCCCAGTGCAAAGTAGTTGCCGCTCTTGAGTCGCCGGGTGCTTGAGGTGACCCCGAAAGGCGTTCAGGTAGCCGTGCCGCCGGTGCCAGCCCTTCCAAGCTCTTCGCAGCCGAGGCTGTTTACGGATCAGGGGAAGTCAGGGAAACTTACCTGCGTGGTGGAGGGCCATACATGTTATCAAAACTAGACATTGCATCGAGGTCTTTTGACAGCATTCTGTGACAGTACATGTGTGACTTCTCAAGGAGACATACAAGTAGGTTCTGACACAAACCAGTGCAATCAATTGTTAAAGCCGACAGGGTTGATGGGCGTTAGGGCTCAGGGTTTAAGGGTTCAAGGTTGCGGGGTTCAGGGTTAGGTCAGCCTGTTGCAAAAGAGGTCATAGGGATGAAGCAGTTTCCAAGTTCTAACAGGTCATATTAATATGGTTCATTCATGCGTCTACTGGCTGCGGGTTGCAGTGGACTGCAAGCTGGCCAGGACACACCCGCCACTGCCGAAGCTGCCGCCAGTGAGGCCTTGGACATCCTTGGACATCCTTGGATCCACAGCTTTTCTTATCGTTTGTTCAGATGTGACGCGCGCAAGACTGGAGCAGGCAATCGGCGCAGCTCAGTTCTGTACGGTCTGGCCTGGAGCTTATGCCTGGATCTGGTAGGCTTTCATATGCTTTCCATTTTTGACAAGCATTCTGCTCAGGTGGAGACTCGGCGCGGGTCATGCCTCCGCCGCCGCCGCCACCAGTTCCTGATCGGCATTACAGTTGCTGGTGTCCGTCAGCATATAGTGAATGTGCGACTATGTGCGACTCAATGCCAGCATGAGATTTCACCGCATCGTCGTACGAGAAGCCTTTGATTCAGCAAACTTAAAACGAAACTGCTAAGCTTTTAAGGCGCCTTTTTGCTTCGCATCCTTCAGTATTACCGTGGCAAAGCTGAGCTCTCCATGTTTGTTAGAAAGTTCGTGCGAAACTAAATGACCTACATCAACAAAACGCAAAGCCCAGACCCCCGTCTTGGAGTCTTGGCTGTTTTTTTAGTTCTGAAGTCCGAGACATTGGAGATTTGAAGCAGTTCGTGTGCTAAGGTGGGGGCATCTACCGAATTCCAGTGGCAACCATTCTTCGGCTCGGGAAACTAACCTTTGAGGCTGCATAGAGCCTCCGACATACGAGCTTGCCAGCCCGATTTTTTTTTCCGCTAGGCCGCTGGCCCTACATAATGTTCGGAAGTCGTGCAAGCTCTTGGGTTATGGGCCCATTCGTCGGCCGAGTAGTGGAGTATAAATACCACGCATCAGGAATCTGGCATCCTTCCTACTTCCTACGGCATGTCGCCTCAAAGCCATCACACGATCCAGCACGCACTCGAGCAGGTGCCGCCCATCCGATCATTGGGCAAAAGTGCTGGTGTGGACCTGAGCTAGTCAAACAGGCGTAGGCGCGCAGGTGCATAGGTGCCTCACCAAGTCAGTCATGAAAGCCTGCGTTGAGGCGTCTCCTTGGCCGATGCCTTCCCTGTAGCTCCTCCAACGCCACAGGTTTGTGTGGTAATTTGTCATGGCTTGAACATGCACTCAGGGGAGGTGTTGCTCGTGTATGCCAACGACTGTACTATATGCACCGAATTGTGAAATTGTTGTGCAGGGTGAGCCATCGGCAAGAAGTGAGCTGATCGGAGGAATTCTGCCGGCAACCCTACGACACACCGCTGGATGCCAGCAAAGAGACCCCCAAACAGTTCATTGAGCATGTTGCAGAGTACGCGAGAGCGCACATACGCACGCACGCACGCACGCACGCACGCACGCACGCACACACCCACACACACCCACACACACACACACACACACACACACACACACACACACACTCACACTCACACTCACACTCACACTCACACTCACACTCACACTCACACTCACACTCACACTGAGGACACTTCTATAGTTGCTCTGGTCACCCTGGTCACCCAGGCCTGGCACGGTTGGCTTGGAAGAGCTGCCTGAGGCGCCTCGACCCACCAAAGGGGGGGGGTGAACCGGACACCTGAAACGGTTGAGCCTCCATGCTTTTTGCCATGCTTTTTGGCATTTTTGAGAACGAGGTCGTTGAGCCCAGACCGCCTGAAGACGTCTTCAGCTGAGGATGTTTGACTGTTCTCGCGGTTTTTGCGATTTTCACCCACGGCATATCGCAGTGTTCAATGTGCTGCTCCATGCGAAAGACTCAAAGGTCGAGGTGCCTCATAGAGCGGCAAATCTGGCCACCACCCCAGACGCCCTAGTCGGAATAATCCACCTGAAGCGACCCGTGGATTTCTAGGTTCGCGATCCTGAGCATACAATGCCAGCGCTGGCCTTGGGATCTACCTCCAGTAGTAGCCATCGCTGGTCATCCCCCGAGATGTTGTTCACGGCTGCAAGCGACACCGGTGTTGCACCACACGACCAAAATATTCAGTCAAAGGAATTTGGGCTTGGCTTAGCTGTGCCGCTGCATACTCTGACCTTGCATCGCTGCACGCTGGCTGCCCACACCTGCCCCACGAACCCCGCTGCAAGCTTCCATCTAGCTTCTGTCGACCGGCAAGTCTCTCTCAACTTGGTTGACTAGTCGCGTCCGGAAGATCGGAGCTGGTCAGCCAGGCTCCGCAAGATGGCCAGAGGGAGGCCATCTGCCCGGCTAGATGGCCATTTAGATCATGCTCCCCTCTGCAAACTTGCAAGGCCTCGTCTTCCCTCAGTCCAAACCGCCGGCGCCGACCTCCTATCGCGCAACTTGCCTAAAATCAATGGCAAATATGTTCAAGTACAGCTTTGGTTGATCTCTGATTCGGAAGTGTCCTGTAGCTGGATGAAACTGGCCGCGGTGGCTGGCGGGATTTTGCAGCCGATCCTTTTTGCGAAAGGTCCGCATCCGTGCCTGGCCAAGACGAGGTGGACTTGCCATCAACCCAGAGTTTTTGTCCCATCACAGTCGTGATGAAGATAGTGTGACAACGTGTTGTAGAAGTCAGGCCGAATGCGCCGTCGTCAATGCCAAAAGCAAAAGCTCAGATGCCGCCAGAAACTGAGGAATCTGATCGCGCTGTCCGCAGGGCTTCCTGAATATGCTTTGTTTAAAGTTTAAAGTGTCTTAGCTGTTAAGCACACACCCGTTTCTTACTCTGTAGCCAGAAGGTTGTCTCTTCCGAGCGGCTTGACGCAGGCAGACGCGTGATGCCCAGCAAATCCTGGCAAGTTGCAGTGGGTAACTTCGACTGTCCCAAGTCGAACCAAGCGTCAAAAAATGCTTTAACTCGTCTTTCGCCAACTTCAGGCCTTAACCGCGGTGAGGTTCCCAACGTCGTGGACTTTTCTCCGATGTTCATTTGTCTTTTTGTGTCAGCGCAGCGTGCTTGCAGAACCCGGCATCTGTCGGTTAAGGATGGGCTCGCCGCAGCCCTTGACTCTGCCAACGGTTCGAGCCTTAACCATTGCAAGCTTCAGGGGATGCGAGCGCCCAGTGTTTTCGGCAGGCTTCGGACACCTCACCGCTTCGCTTTGCCGGAAGCCTCAGGCCAGCTGTGGCAAGATGCATTTTGGAGAAGGATTCATAGGTCGAGATTGGGACAATCTTCGTAGAGCGCCGGTATGCCAACTTGCAGGCTGGGCGTGCCAAAGCAGGCTCCGCTGGATGTGCCTTCCTCCGTTCTCCTACGGGTGCCTCGCCTACTTTTACAGAGATCAGAAGTGGTTGTGGGGAAGGCAGCCCAAAGAACCCGATATGCAGACTTTGTGTAGGGGCTGTGTGGGGTGTCTCAGTCACCAGCTGTAGTTTGAGGCCCCAAGGCTGCACCGCCAGAATATTTGGGAGGGCCCAAGTTTTGAAAGCCAATGAAGAAGGATGGAATCCTCTGACATGAGTCACTTTGGGCACCACGGGTGCATGGATACGTGGCTGCTTCAAAAGCGCTTCTATACCGGGCCCCGAAACTCCACAAGAAGCCCGGCCCGTCTTCCAAACGCCAGGTGCCTCAAGTGCAGAAGCATTCCAGCAGCAAAGAGCTCAGTCTTTTGCACTGAGCCGCTGCTTGTTCTAAATTGTGCATGACTCCAAGTTTAAGTGGCAGGTTCCTCCGTTCCGCCTCCGCCTCCTCCCTTGATTCCGCCGCCAACGTCAAAGCGTCATGGGCATGATCCTGAAACTCGATGCAGCACAGTCGCTCTACTTTGAAGCTTATTGGAGTGGCTGCTCGTGATCGTGCTGCACTAAGGGCTGACATGGAGCCCATTCCCCCAGAGGCAGGTGAGCCCTTAGTGGCGGCGTCGAGCTGAGCCCATCACCGCAGGGCTGCTTTTTCGTGCTGTTTCCATGCATGGGATGCACAGTGCCCTCAGTTGCTCAGTTGTCCAAGGTCCGAAGGCTAAATAAAGTTCGACCGGGGCAAGTTTCAACAAGCTCGCTCGGAGCCTGGACATATCTGGACGTCGTCTGCTGCATACTTGTGTGTCACTGTGCCGTTTGCGAAGGCGCACCCCAAAGCCACCTCCGACAATGCCGGGCAAAGCCATGTTGCCAACTCCACCTGCAGGCGCGCCGACAGTACCTGCACATACGTCCCAAACGGTCGCGGCGACGAAATGCCATGCAAAGCACGAGAAGTATGTTTTAGAGGTCCTCCACCAGCTCATGCAATTGTGCTGGCCAAGGGAAGGCCGCAGGACTGGTTATTGTGAAGTTGAGCCGCGCTGATGCCGCTTTGCAAGCTCGACCTGGATTGCGAGTTCTACAATGTTCTACAATGGCTACGGCAGGACTTTGCAAGTGGAAACGTCGACTTGCAGGCTCGCAGACATGGTCGATGAGATGCAGCTGCATAGCTATACTTCTCCAATGAACAAGTCGCACCGAGCATTCCAAGACACTCAGGCAGTGGTCGCAAAGGCAAAGCCTCCTGCACCACTGGTACCAACCTCAGCCGCTTCAGCCTTTGAAAAGATGCGGAATCTTCAGTACATGTACATGTTGGCAGGTGCATCCCCCATCAGAGCCACTACCTTCCTTTGTCTACAGGGCGCCACCACAGGCATGCAAAACATCTCTACGTACGGACCTGACTCCAGACCCTCGCAAGGACATGCTCATCCCGACAAGACCTGCGCAGGCGTTGCAGTCGATTGTTGATGCCAGAGGCAAATCGCCCAAGGCGGGAGAGGGCTTGGGACATCCTGAGACTGGAAGCCATTCTGATTTATCTGATTTATGGAACTTCTGCTCGGCTTTCGCAGGCCTCTGCCTTGGAGCCACTGCCGCCGAAGGCGGCACCATGTGACCGATGATGACCAGTGACCGATGAATGTGCCAATGTACGTCTACCTTTTAGTTCAACTTCGTTCATGATCCTGCACAGTAGCAGTGCCGAAGCGCTTTAAGTCTGAGCATATGCTGGGACTGCCGCCAACAGCAGGCACCCCCTGCAAACAGCGACAGTCTCGCCTTTGCGGCACGGGCCACAAGAAGGTTGTAAACCTGCGGAGCGTTGTATGTTTTACCCACTTAGATTCTGAAGCTTGCACCATGGAAGTTGCATCAGAGGCAGATGCCAATCCAAAGCCAAGTAAGCACAACACTGACAGATTCTCGAGGACCGTCCATACACAGAAATACTTGAACACCCCAGCAGCTGCAGCACCCCATCCTCTGAACGTCCGCTGCGTTTTCTGAATCAACTGAGGCCCTGCCTAGTGTGGCAAAGGAGTATGTTCCACCTGAGCGGGGCCCAAAGCCGGTACCGGAGGTTGTGGTGAAGGCCCGGAGGGTCCCGGAGTGCGAAGGTGTAAATGCGGTGTAGTATGCGGTGCATCGGCCAGGTCAGCGTTTGGATTGTTTATGTCTTTGTGTCTGGGGCTCACATTTCGCAACCAAGCAGGGAAGATCAAAATGAATTGCTGTTGCCGTTGTTTGCTTTTGCTTTGCGCAACGAGGTTCTGGATTTTTGTTCACAGCGTCGCGATTATTGCACTGTACGGAGTGTACATGACGAACAGCCACGAGCTGGCCTCGGTTGGGAACGGGAACTGCAGTGGATTCAATACACTTCAATACACTCCTGAAGTAGATCTGAGAACCTGTGCATTCGTTGCGTCGGCGTCCCAGATTTGGGCTACATACGCGGCCACGTTCGTTGGCTGTTTGCTGAATTTCGGGATCTTGGAGAGCAGGGCACTCGGCACTCGGAAACCCCAGCTATGTTCACACTCACGTCGATTGACGTACGTAGATCTATTGCATAGATCATATGTCATATGCAGCATGACCCAGCACGATCCGCCGTCCTCCAACGAGGCATGAAGTGCGTCATCCTGGGTTGCGTGGAGCTGGTGAAGCATGAGACAGTCCGCCACGCCAGATAAGCATGAGCTAGAGTGAATATGCTTCTCTCGAAATTTACACTGCTGCCCAGAATAACAGGTCAAGAGACAAGCCGAGCTGGACGCAAGAAAGACCCGAATGGCCAGATCCTCATGCCTCGCGGTGAGCTGTTTTGTGAAGTGGAGTCTTTGATTTTTGGCGCACTTGCAATTCGTTCGGGCTGGTAATCTTCTCCCCCCAGAGCACGTGGAAAAGAACGATTCGCAGCAAGTTGGGCGTTTATGGGAACCTCCGTCATGGAGGCCAGACCCAAACCCAAACCCGGTTCACGCTTGGTGTGGCCAAAAACCCTCTTCCATTGCCTTGCCTGCCGAGTTCGAGCGTTCACAGTCGAAGCCCTGTTTCTGAACTCAAAACTCCAAAAACCCGGACGAAGCCCTCAACCCTATTACTGTAGCCTCAAGCCTGAAATCACCCCCCCCCCCCCCCCTTCCCCAATTAAATATCAGTACAATACAGTTTGGCTATCCTGGAGCCAGGAAGCCATCTAAAATCCTAATTAGAGTAAACCCTATACTATTGAACCCCGAAACCTCAACCCTAAACCTTCGGCTCAATCCTGGATCTCAGAAGTGCTGTAACCCCTATGCCTGACCTGTACTCAAACCTAGCCAGAAGTTGCACCCCAACCCAGCAGACCCCAGCAGACCCCAGCAGACCCCAGCAGACCCCAGCAGACCGCACTCCAAGCAAATCTTCAGAGTTGAGGGCTGAGCCAAAGACCGATCTGTGCGCGCCATCCTTGACGCGCCTGAGAACTTACCTTAGTGCTGAACTCCTTGGTCCACATCTAAGAGCTCACCTCACTGCTAGACTGCTTGGTTCGTGTTCAAGACTCCGCAGCCCAGGCCCTAAAACCCGATTAACTTACTACTGAAACCTAGGGCTGCAAACCTCAGCCCTAAGCCTGCATCTGAATCTCCAGATCTCATGTCTGAACCCACTATCTGCAGAAGCTGAAAGACCTCAACTTTGGGGTTGCGGCCTTGAGGTCTTGATTTAATCAGGGTTTAGGCTTAAGCGTGTAGATGTGTTTTGGGGTTGAGTAGGGTAAAGCCCTCAGCCCAGTTTAGGCTTCAAGTCCCCCCCCCCCCCCCACGCCTAATTCCAAGAGTAAGGGTTCCACATTTGTGTTTAATGTTCGGGGGTGTTCCATACTCGAGAGAAGGGGATCACTTGGAAGCCAAAGCCTCAGCTGGCAAGGCACTGAAGGAGCAACGCCAGCTAGAGCGACGTGCAAGACTACAGGCCCTGCCGTCGCGGCCATAAACGACAATGCCCCGAGATGCTCTGCCAGGAAATTCAGAACATGCATGTGCCACCTCCCTTGATGGGCTGATGCCACGAGCAGGAGGACCTTGGTGCGGTTTTCCAACGGAGTGGCCTTAAATTGAGTGAACGACTTGTTTGCAGTGTGCAGCTGCGCCTGGCGCCTGTTGGCTCAAAACGTGCCATTGCTGATGTTTGTTTTCTCGAACCTCCCGCCAGATGGGCCGTTTTGCGCTTCAGGCGCACTGGAGAAAATCATGTATGCGGAACTTGCGCAGCTGCTTATGGTCGTGCGTTGCGCTTTCGATTGAAGAACTGAGTGGTCAATGAATCAATGCAGCTGCGTGCAAGGCCAGGCCCAGTCCTGCGCACCAACTTACATGCTAGGGCTCCTAGGCAAGTACGACAAGTACCACAGATCCTTTGGGGAAGCGCTCGGTCGATCCAGGGATGTTGCCCCTGGGGCTTGTGTGGACGCGTGGTCGCCTCGATAGCTTGCGGCCTTGAAAGCGCCAAGCGCTCAAAGAGCCGTTTGTGTTCGGTACAAGCTGTTGCGGTCAGCAATGCTGCTTCACGCCAGGAAGAGTTGGAGACTCGTCTAGCACAATTTCGGGAAGAGTTGATTGGCAGAGATATACAAGCCTACATAGTTCCGACAGATGACGCACATATGTCGGAAGTTCCACCTGATTGCTTTGCTCGACGAAAATTCCTGACAGGCTTCTCAGGATCCGCCGGAACTGCCCTTGTCACCAGACACGAGGCAAAGCTATGGACAGATGGGCGGTATTTCATACAAGCCAAGATGGAGTTGAGCAGTTCATGGCAATTGATGAAATCTGGAATTCAGGGCACTCCTGACATAGATGACTGGCTAATTCAGAACCTGCAAAAGGGAGATGTGGTGGGCATTGATCCGACAGTACATGCTGCCCTGCCTGCCGTGGAATTGCAGAGTAAGCTACAAAAGGCGGGCATAAACTTGCGCAGCCTTCAGCCGAACCTGGTGGATCAGATATGGAAAGCTGACAGAAGCCGGCCCACCAGCCAGGTGCGATTGCACCCTCAGCACTATTCAGGCTCTGACACAGGGGAGAAACTCGCACGTGTGAGAGAGAAGATGGTCGAAAATGAGGCTGATGTCTTCCTGGTGACGGCTTTAGACGAAGTAGGGTGCCTCCGAGTCAGAATTGCCACAGTATTAACTTGTGAAACGTTGTCAATTGCTGCTCCTTGCATCACGTGCCCTGTCGCGTCCGTGAAAATTCTGCTACGTTTACATTGTGGTGTCCAGGTATCTCTTCAACATCCGTGGCAATGATGTCAGGCACACTCCAGTTCCTTGGAAAGACAAGGCAGATGTGAACATACAAACAAGCCACCAACAAGCCAATAATCGATTTTGCATGGTGAGCCAGCAAGATTCTGGAGATCGCAAAGGTTGTTCTAGCTTTTGCTCTTGTGGACATGGACGGGGCCTGCATCTTCATTGATGAGGGAAAACTGACTGCAGAGGCCAGCCTGCTCACTTCTGAGTCTACTGTTGCCATATTTCCCTTCATGCAAATGGACAGGTGCAGCTGTACATGTATGCTGTATGACACTGTATGAGGTACGAAGGCATTTGGAAAACTACAACATCGCCATCTATCCGTACACCTCCTTTGACGAAGCTGTCGCTGAAAGAGCACAGCGTGGGAAGCGAGATCTTCGGCCCTTGCAGTTACATAGGGTTTGCCGAGCCATTTTTTGTTCGATACTCTTCATGGTGACCATATGATTTCAGGAACCCGTGTTTCCCTCTTATCCGATCTTGCAAGCCAAAGTAGAGACGAGGTGTGGATGGACACAAAGCGACCCACAGCTGCATTAACAGCAGTTGTATGTAGAGAACTTCGTGCCACATGTATCACACCAATGCACAGTGTACAGCCGCATAATGAGGCTCCAACTATTCGCTTTTCTTGGCAAGTGGCAGGGAAGGGCCAACAGAGTCTTGGCACCTTGTGTGTCGCGTTGTGTAGCACGAGCCGCTTTGACTCACCGAACCATTTTGGGGCTTCAGGTGACTAAACGATCACCGGTTGCGGAGCTTCAAGCAGAAGACTGAGCATCGGAGTGCAACTCCGGCAGAAGGTACAGTCTCGATGTGCGGCCTTCTGAGGCACGCAAGAACAGAGCCGAGATACAGGGCATGGTGGAGGCCCATCGCCGCGACGGTGCCGCACTTTGTTCCGCCTTCGCACAGCTGGAGCGCATGGTCAACAGCGGTGAACTTGTGCTACTTTCCTGGCACATATCTTCTGCCTGCGTCGTGTGGCAAGTTGCCTTTGTACTCCCTGGGCTTTTAGAGTCTGGGGACACACAGTTGTGAACCCCAAAGGACTCTGCTTCGAGTCACCTTCTCGCCCAAGGCCACATGACCTCGCAACCAAATTCTCGAATAAGACACGCATTGTACTCTTGCTTGGTCCAAAGCACGCAGAACTCCACCGAATCGAACAAATACTAAGAAGCCCTGAGACGAACCACCGTGAAAGGGATGAAGGAGGTGAAGCTTGCCCAAGTTTGCCCAGCTTGCCTGGAGCCCCGTTAAAAACACTTCTGCATCACCTACAATTTAATTCACTCGGCTCTCGCACCAATTGTTTCTGAGGACGGAGATCGATGTGGATCGAGCAGTGACAGCTGCGCGCTCTACAGAGTTTGGTGATAGCCTCGAGCAAGTTCAAGCTGTGGTTTTCTGCACTACCAACATCTTCAGCATCTTCAGGCTACCTGGACAATTCATTCGATACCATCGCTGGCTATGGGCCCAATGCTGCCATTATTCACTACGTGGCCCAGGCGGCTTGGTTTTTCGCATCTGTCGCCTGCCCAAGACTGTCTTTGTTAGGCAGAATCTGCCTCAGCGGTTGGCACGACGCCCAAGCTTTGACTGCCGAATTGAAACAGAAGAACTAGGCACCCAACGAAGCAGATCAAGGAACAGACTCCATGCTGCTGCTCGACTCCGGTGCACAGTACGCCGACGGGACGACTGATGTGACTCGAGTCTCAGTTGCAGATCCTGGAAATCATGGCAGACCTCCAGAGATGAGCATCGGCACGCCATGGCACATCTCAGTTTGCATGAGCCCAGGGACTCTGAAATTCGGCATGCCGACGCACGAAGAGCGCAAGCTGGTGGCACTAGAGCCCTTTACCACAGATAGTGCCCGCCCAGAGTTGCATTAAAATCAGGCCCCTTGCCAAATGATTCGTGGGCGTGGCTTTGCAAAGTAGAAACTTCTACAAGAGCGGCCTTGTGCGCGAGCCAAGGCATGTTATTCACTCGTGTTCTTAAAGCACACATAGGCTTTGGTCTTACGCTCCGTCCAAGCACAGCACCTGATGTGAGCCTAGTTGATGCGGTTCGGAACCTGAGTTTCACTCAGCTGCAAGGCCTTGCAACAGCAACATTCCCTGCTGATGTTCCTTGCTTCGTGTTGGATGCATATGCGACAGCCCTAGATTCCGTGCTACTTGCATGACCCGTGCCGAACGTGGAAGCCAGCCAGGCACGTCGACCTTTGTGGGAGGCGCCTTAGAAAAGACTGGTAGAAGCCGGCCACTTATAAGGCAACAGCCCTGCAAAAGCCCTGAGGTCGCCGCTGATTATCGACATGGCACTGGGCACGGCGTAGGGGCGGCATTGGCTGTTCATGAGATTCCCCCGTACATTGGCCAGCGATTTGAAACTTCATCTGAATTATGGATTCGCTCTTTAAAACTTTAGGAACTCTAGACTCTCTGCTCCCATCTTGCTTGATCTCTTGCCAGCAAACATCGGCCAGGAGAATCGCGATCCTTTGCAGGCGCACGTTTGGTTGCCCTTAATCCACTGCGTTCGTTTTAAGACCCTCTGGGTGGCCACTTTGTGATGACATGCCCAGGCGGGAATGATTGCCACTGGATGTCATTACTTGGCGGGGTGGGATGTGGTGGGATGTGCTGGGTGCATTCTATCGAGCAGCCTGCGTATTGAAGCCCGAGGTCAGCAATGAGCCAGGGCTCTATCTTGAGGGGCGCTTTGGAATCCGAATCGAGAATCTCATGCTTGTGGTGAAGAAGGCCCCGAAGTTCATCCGGTGCGTGCGTGAGTGCGTGGGTGGGTGGGTGTGTGTGTGCGTGTGTGTGGATGTGGATGTGGGTGTGCGCAAGGCCATGGACAAGGATGGCAGAAGCTACCTGGGCCTGCGACCGATAACTGTGGTTCCAATACAGACGCTTATCAAGTTTCACACCGCAAGGCGTCTGCAGATGCTTGTGTTTGTGTCATATTGTTCGGCTCCTTGGTCTGATGCAATGAGCCCTAGACTTAGACAGTGCTAATGTTTGAACATCCCCGGATGTTGGCTACACATCAGAATTCATCATGCCTCCATCCTCATTGCCACGAGTACTTTCGAGTGGGTGAAGGGCGATCCCAGCCCATCGTTTCAGAGAGAGCATTGGGGTAGGCTGCCCATGCTATGTTAAAATGTGGTTTTGTTCATTGCAAGCGTTCTGCACATCAGCTCGCAAACCGATCTGACTGTAAGCCGTTATAGATAATTGCCGGAAGCTCGCGAACTTATCAGAGGTCCAGGGGTGGTTTTTCGGCACACGATCACATGGCATTCCTGCGGTCGCCAAGGAGGAACCTCATTGACACATCACTCCTCTCCAACGCAGAGCTCTCCTACCTGAACGCGCCTTGACGGTTGTGATGAGTTGCTGGACAGACCAACGAAGTCCCAGCGTCTCAAGCTGGAAATGACCAGTTGCAGATAAACGCCACTGCATGTCGCCATAACGCCACAGGCATACCACAAGCGCGTGGCAGATGAGCTGACCCCAATCCTCTTGAAGCGTGGCGACGCAGAGGCGCTGGACAAACATCCGCCAAGCTTGTGCGCATACAAGTTTCCCCGGGGGTGAACGACGCCATATAACATGCAGAAGAAGAACTGCTCCCAAACTTGGATGCGGAACAGCATTCTTCAACCCACTGGTTGTTTTGCTGTTTTTGCAGTTGCGATTCGCGATTACAAAGCCCTTCTCATCTGGTAAAACAGTGGCGCGAAGGGAAAGAAGAAGGTCACACTTCTGCTTTTAGTTGTTGGGGGAGGGGTCCTGGATTGACTTTCCATCCTTTTGGCCTTGTGGCTTCTCTACCATTGTAGTTGTATTGCTTTTCTTGGTTTGCTTTGGCTCCCGTGCCATTTCCTAATGTCCCATATGCTACAGTATGTGATCTCGTTGTGGTTTCCATCTAGTGTCTATGACCACTAAAGTGCGATTACACTATCGCTGCATACCATTGCTGCGGCTCATCGTCCCACTACATAGCCATTGCTTCCTCTACTTGTACTTCTACGTCTACTTCTACTTCTACTTCAACTGCTGCTGCTGCTGCTACTACTGCTGCTGCTGCTGCTACTACTACTACTACTACTACTACTACTACTACTACTACTACTACTACTACTACTACTACTACTACTAGGCGTCACGGTCTTAGTTGATCGCAGGGTTTTTTTGGCGGGCATTTGTCGTGTAAAGACACGAAAACATGTATTTACGGTGTTTGGTGGCTCTGGTCGTTTTTGGACGCGAAAACTGGACATGCAAAAATCGCGGAAAACTACTTTCAACTGCTTTAGGCGCCAGAGGAAAACATCGGTATTTACGGTGTTTTCGGGCGTAAAAAAGCGCGCATTTGCGCGCGCTACGTTTTGCGGACGCGTTTTAAGAAAACACGCAAAGATGGTGTTTTGTGGCGTTTCCCGCGCTTTTTGGGCTTGCACTGGAGATTTGGGGTTTGGGGTTTAAGGGTGGAGGTCTTTGGGGTTTAAGGGTAGGAAAAAGATTTGGGTTTAAGGGTAGAGACCTTTTGGGCTTGCACTGGAGATTTGGGGTTTGGGGTTTAAGGGTGGAGATCTTTTGGGTTAAAGGGTAGGTCAAAGATTTGGGTTTAAGGGTAGAGACCTTTTGGGCTTGCACTGGAGATTTGGGGTTTGGGGCTTAAGGGTAGAGATCTTTTGGGTTTAAGGGTTTGTGCACAAAGCACAGCACGTATTTAACCCCCCCCCCCCCCGCCCACCCCCCCCCCCAAAAAAAAATATGAAAAACGAAAAAAGCAGCACAAAAGAGGCAAAAAACAAAGAACAGCAAGAAACACCATGATCAGTGTCGACCGTGTCACCTCCTACTACAACAACAACAACTACTACTACTACTACTACTACTACTACTACTACTACTACTACCACTACCACTACCACCACCACTACCACTACCACTACCACTACCACTACCACTACCACTACCACTACCACCACCACTACCACCACCGCTACCACCACCACTACCACCACCGCTACCACCACCGCTACCACTACCGAAAGCGACGGGACCACCTGAAAAGCGACACCCCAAAAAACACGTCCAGTAGTGCCTAAAGGCAGTTTAGACGGGCGCTCTGGCTGTTAGTCAGTGACTCGAGCACAGGCCTTGCAATTGCTTCGCCGCGACACAGCTGAGATTCAGCGAGCAGATAGTGTCTGCTGGGATGACATTCACGCTCGGGAAGCGGCTGGGGCTGCGGTCATGGACGATTCCGAAAATGATCGGGCCAGAATGGTCTGAGTCTGAGTCCTGAGAGAAAAGACTCCATCGCCGCATGTATGGCATGTTTTGTCGTTTTTTGGTGTTTGTGCTGCTCATGATAAACGTTTTTTTTGCTTGCACCACCTCAGTCTGCAAGCTGGTTGCTGTTAGCTGCATGTATATACAGGCCCTGCCTATGGTCTTCTTCTCGCGTCTTGAAAAACTTGACGCAGCAGGACGATCCCGGCTTTTAGCACGACATCGGGCAGTGGGTGGCTTGGCACATATTGCGTCTCTGCGACATGCCTTCTTCCGTGCCAAAAGTGGAGACATCGTGTGTCCAAGGAATGCCACAAGATGGTTTTGTGAGCTTGGCTCTCAATGTTCATCAGATTCGGTGATAGCTGTCGACTGTAGTAGCTGTAGTGGCTGTAGTTTGCTCCTAACCGCGAAGAAGGTACTAGCGTCAAAGGCACCATGCAGACTAGGCTTAACTCAGACTGGTGATGATTTGAATGCTTCCGCATCCATCATGCTCGCTCGCGCCAGCATGCAGCAAGCCATGCCAGTCGCGACCGTAGGCCCCAGGACGCATGGCACATGCACTCAATGAAACAGAAAGCCTCAGCAAGACATACGCTATGCCTCACCATGACGCCATGCATTGGGTTTCGCAGCAAGTCTCACGAATAGCACGTGCATCAGACCTTGGCGGACATGAACATTGGTTGAGTCCCCTCGCGTCCATGAACATACGCAATTGTAGTCCTTGCTTTCTGTGTCACAGCACGCTCTGATGCCCGAATTGAACTGATCAGAAATGTTCCAGCGAGCATTGCAAGCATCCATTTGTAATGGTGCTCACCGTGGATTGACTCACGACTCTTCTGTACGGCTCGGCGGTGTAACTATGGTGTTCAAAAAGCAGTAGATCAGTCCCTGCTACGCGATGCTACGCGATTGCATCGTTGGTCAGCAAAGAACGAGATGTTTCACACAAGGTCTTTTAATAGAGAGCATGTCTAACGACGAACAACACCAGCGAGAATCAAAGCTGCTGCGTTCGAGGAGTCTGAGTCTCGTACTATCTTCACATGCTGCAGTCGCTGTGCAGTCGTTCGTTGTGCACTGCACACCGATGCGGTGCTACCAAGTTGTTGAGTAGCAAGATGACTGTGCCTGAGAATGTGCGGCCCAAGCATGCGTGTCCTGACACGCTCCTCATCATGGCGGTGAAACTTTGGATGGTCGTGGCCGGGGCCACAAACGGACACCAAACTGATTCTTTCATCAAGACCCAGGAACCGTTTGCAAGTGCCTCCTGTTTCTGGCTCGATGCCGCGTCTGGTCACTTGTGGAGGTCGGGACGGCAATCGTGATCCATGCAGGCAATATGATCACAGCCAGACGCTGAGCCTTGCTGGCAGCATGACTCAGCATGACAGATTGCCGTGGACAGTAGCTGAATCAGGCAGAGAAGCATGCTGCTATGGAAGAGGCAGAAGGATTTCACGAAGATGTGACAGGCGTCACTTTCCAGGCACTTTACGGGTTTGCACGTTCTCGCATTTTTGTTGCGGCGCAAACGCGATTGGGTGCAATCGGAGAGTGTGGATAAGACGGCTTCGTCCCAAGACCCTGTGAGTAACTCCTGCGGGTACCTGTCAGCTTTCCTTGGCCTGCCCTTGGTTTGGCCGATCTTGCGTAAAGGGTCATCAGTTATGGAAGGCACGCGAGGAGGGCACACGCACGTAGGCCGAAGCAGGCCAAACGAGTGGAGGAAGGCAACCTGCCCACAGGGTGCAAAGGTCTGACCCTGCATCCTAAAGAAACCCCAAAGAAAGACCGGCAAAAGCACGAGCACGACTGCCGGGGCAGGGATTCTGCGAACTCGGGCCACAGAGCTCGCAATGAAGCCCGTTGAACGCCGTTAAAGGGGCAGAATGAGCAGAGACCCCAGAAGTTCGTCACGCCATGTCGCGCCGAGAATCGCCTGGGCATGTCGGACCCCGGGTCGGGAAGCAACAGATGTTCACAGCATTATTCCCAAACAGTCTACTGTCGGGGTTCTAAATTCATTTAAGGATTGCCGACACTCTGAGGACTGTTGCCGGGTTCCTGGGCTCCTTGTCTCCCTTTGTCTCCCTTTGTCTTCCGTCATGTGGGTAGTTTTGCCGGGTTGCTGTGCTCCTCGCCTCCCTTTGTCTCCCTTCACTGTTTCTTTGACATGCCTTTGACTGTTTGGGGTCTTTCGGTGGTGTAATTGCAACTAATTGCACTTTGGTACTGCGCGGCGCGGCCCTGCAAGGTTTTCGTAGAAGTCGTCGTCGGTTCGCTGCTGGCGCTTTGGGGCGGCATCGGAGACTTCAAGCGTGTGCCTCAGCGTAGCTTTCCGTATCTTGGCCTATGTCCGGCTGTCAGCCACTTACAAGGTCACGTCTCCCAGACTGAGGCCAATTCGAGCAAGCGATCCCAAGAAGCCAAGATGGGAGCTGGGCGCATGGATATGCATGGATGTTCACGTTCAGTCTTGAAAGGGAAGCAGATAGTCGAGAATCTCAGCCTCGGCAACTGCAGAACCTTGGTCTTAGGTCCCTCCATGCCCGGCCAGACTTCCACAGCTATCGAACACGAGCAAAGTTCATGAGGCGCGGGTGATGGAAGGTGGCACGTGGCTCTTCTCGTAAACTTCTGGAGATCTGCTGTCGTTGCCATGATCCCATGACGTTCCAGGTCATTGCTGACCAACATCGAGTCGCCTCCATGAGATCTTGAAACGGCCAAGATGAGAAGCGCAGAAAAAAAGACCACCGCAGCAATGCACACAGATGGAATAGTGAATGAAGAGGCACTATCCCACGCATGCTTCGCCGCAACATGGGCAGATCGAGCATTGTCGTACAATCTTCAGCCATGGGATGCCTTCGATTGTGCGCCGTGCTTGTTGCACTGCTAGCAGTGCTTGGCCCCATATGCTTGATGCTTGGCCGGAAGCTGAACTCCTCGAACTCCTCACTTTTTCTTGTTGTTTTCGTTGCCTCCATCTGAGGAGCGCAGCGGCTGACGGCAAGTTCTGGGACCTTCTTGCGACATGGGATACGACTGATATTCCAGATTTGTCAGGAAAGGTGGCCATCGTAACTGGACCTACTGCAGCTAGGCTGGATCAGCTGAAGCTCGAAACGCTGTGCTGAAGCGTCTTGCAAACCGACACACCACCAGAGGTTAACGGCATCGGCTTTGAGTCTGCGGTCGAGATGGCTAGGAAGGGGGCACAGGCACATGATAAGCACATGATGCTGCATTCTATCGAATTCTATCGAGGGTTTCGGTGACTTGTTTTGAAGCACGCGGATGTGGAGCGCGCGCCCGGGCCACCAGCCACGGAGGCGCTAGCATTGCCGTGTAAGTAAACAGCCGCACGACAATGTCGCGGGATGATTTCAGAGAGCCTTTCAGGGGCTTTTTCGTTTTGCAAAGAAAGCCGCCCCACGACAATAACAACATCGTAGGACGGTTTCGTGCACGAACAGCATCGCAGGACGATCTTTTTGGGGCTTTATTTTTCGGGTGTTTAACAGCGGCCGGCCTCGCCCATTCCCTCACGGAGGCAGTATCAAAAAAATGTATTGCTTCAATAGATGTCCGTGTTTTTTTCCCGTTTTGCCCGCATTCTAACATATTCCCAGCGCCAATTTCAACAAAAGAGCCCGTGCTCTTCGTTCATCCTGGAGGAACATACAGTACTTGGCCAGGTCATTCTTGCTGGCCGAAGCGACAGCAAGGGCCAAGAGGCCCTGAGCCAGCTGCTTCAGAGGGTGCCTGACGCCAAGGCAGCAGTTGTGAATCTTGCCTGAAAGCATCTGAAAGCATCCCAGCCCCAGAAGAAACCGCGCACAAGCGTCCCTCAGAGCCAGGCCGAGTTCATGAAGCTCGACTTGGGCAGCCTCAAGCAAGTAAAGGAGTTTGCGCTGAACTTCAAGGCCAAGCACTTGCCCTTGCAACTCATACGCACGCTGGCAAAACATTTCCATGTGCTGTAGACTCTGGCGGTTAATGCCTGGGGGTGCCGATTTTGCAATGTCCGAATCCGAAGCAGTGTTCCCACGCTTGAGCCGTCATTCTCGAAGCAGCTCGACGGGGCAAGCAGATTGTTACGAACTTTTCTTCTTAGCATCTGGAGGGGACATGTATACTGTTATCACTTACTGCCTGGTTGCAGTTGGCGCCTGTTTTCGTTTGCCCTCGACCCAGCCTCGACCTATTGGTCCTGGTCTTCAAGCTATGTCATCTCGCACGGAGTTTGTCATGCCAAAAGTCCTGCCCCGAGTGCGGCTGACGAAACTCGCAATTGAAAGTCCTCATCCAATGAACGTCATCATGCCCAGAACCTGCCACGTGGTCATGGAAACTTCAGAAGTTACTTGCACCAATAGACCCTGTTGAACCCGACCTCCATCTGGCTTCTCGAGTGTGCCTTGTGCGGTGCGTCTTCTCCAATGCTTCGTCCTCCTTGGAGGCCGCATGCCATCGCGATACATCTCCAACAGTTGGCGTAGAGACTACTGTCAGGTGTACAGAAATCCGCCTTGCACATTCCGGCGCGCTCATCGCTGGGGTTCCGCATGCACTGTCGCACATTAGTCCGAATTTGTGGTCAGTGCAGAGCGCAAGGCATATTCTGATGAACAGCGCCGGGATAATGGCCAATCCGTTTACCTTGACGGTGGACAAGCTGGAGAGCCAGTTCGCCACAAATCACTTGGGACATTTCTTGCTGACCAAACTACTACTGCCAGAGCTGGAGGCTGTTGCCAAATCGTTACACATGAGATCTGTTGTAGAACAGGTACTTTGCAATGCTTCTGCAACGGTGTTTCGCTTCCTCTGTTGCTTTCGGCATACGAGTGACAGGCATCAGCACCATCTCGAATCGTGACTGTCTCATCTGCCGCGGCCTTCTTTCCAGAAATGATGGCCAAGTTGGAAATGCTGCTGGGATGAGACAGCACAACTTAAGCTTGTGTGTGTGTGTGTGTCTTTCTTTGCGGTTCCGTCGAGCAGAGGCGAGGAACAATGCCAGCACTCTTGCTGCGGATATTGAAGCCGTTGTGTCGCATGCTGGTCGCGTACTTCTTTGCCATTTGCTTGTATCGGAGTTCATGTGGTGAAGCATTGTCTCGCTGCTGTTTCTTACCATGTTCGTACTTTGCTTAAGTTTGTCCCTTTGTGACCGGCATCCGACGACTTATCCACAGGCATGGTCTTCAAAAAGTGGCAGTAGGGTCTCACTCCATGCTTACCGCTCGACAAAGCGACATGACAGTTCTCTAAACTGGGCTCACTTTCCATTGCAAGCACCGGGAAGATCTACCAGAGACCCTTGTGGCCCACTTGTCTCGGTCTTCCTGATCGCTCTATAAGTCGACAAAGTCTAGCGTTTAGTCATGTCCACATCCCGGCTGGCGACACGTCTTCAGAGTCTACTTCAGAGCTTCGAGAACTTCGGGGGCTGTTACATTGAGACGTTTAGACTCCCAGATGCGAAGCAGAGAGCTTCAGATGAGTCACAGCATAATTAAGGCCAGGCCCGGTCAGGATACTTTGGGGTTTCGTGTGTGTAGGCCTGCTGTGCAAGGTCTGGGCTTTCTCTGAACGAGAGCCTAGGGCCTGGAGTTTAGGACAGCCATCGCAGACGGCTTTCATCAGACACCCTGTCAGCTTCATCAAGTGCACCGGTTCAGCCTTCGCTTGGTTCTTCCAAGCCCTTCGCTGCCGGTGAGGGTCTACATCCTGCAGCAAGAGGCACAACTTGAGCGGGCAACACCAGCTCGCGACCCGCAGCTGCAATACAGATGAAACCGTCGGAAAACATGAGACATGAGCGCGCGGGTGCCTTGCAACTAGTGACACCCGGCAATCGAAAACAAGCAGCCAGCCAGCTGGTCATTGATTTTTAGAAGCGGTTGGAGAATGCTTGCGTGCCTGCGTGGTGTTGGACAGGTGGTCTTGCTGGTCAGTTACTGGTCTTACTAGATCTCGTTGCCTCAGACCCAGGGTATGGAAACAATGGAAACTCCTCAGGTTCGGCTTGATCAATGCAGCTCCTGCGGCCGACTTTGACAAGCTGGGTCAGGACTACGAAGCCGCTCGTAGATCCAACCAGCCAACTCAGCCAACACTGCAATACACTGCATGTCTGTGCTTCTTTTGTTTTGACTGGCAATTTTTCGCAGTGCGCAGTTCTGAGGCTGACTACCACCCGTTCAAGGCATATGGTCGATCAAAGCTTGCAAATGTTCTCTTTACCCGGGCTTTGGACAGACGACTGTCCGGCAAGAAGATATTTGCAAACGTCTGCCATCCTGGCGGCATCATGACAAACCTCCCGAAGCATGCGGCTCGGGCAGAACAGTCCATCAGAGTCTTCTATTTAGCCCTGTCCATTGCCCATGAGATCTCGAGAGCCAGCTGCCTTGCCTTTGATGTGACGAAGGTTCAACAAACCACCGAGGAGAGCATGGGCAGTCGTTGGACTCTTGGTTAGCAGCAGCAACACTGCAAGGTGTGCCGTTTCGCTGTCAACTGATGCACCTCGTGTTCGTCAAGTGCTTTTAGAGATCGTGCAAGTCAAGGAGATACCTTCTTGATGAACTGATGCAGCTGGTAATGCTAGCACCGCCCCGGGGCCGCTCGGCAAGGCTACCTTCTAGCCTGTCCCAAACTTTCATATTGGCATGACGCAAGAATACTCAAAGGCGCCATAACTCAGCTCTACCTGGCGACCGCACCAGACATTGAAGAGAAAGGTGTCCGCGGGCAGCGGGAAGCCCAGGTCCACAGCTGTTGCTCAGAATTGCAGCCAAAGCACGCGGCCCTTCTTTGGCGAGGTATTTTCGCAACCAGGCAAGACATGCCAGCCCTCCGAAATTTTCCACGGAGCAGCTGGAGGAGAAACTGTGGTCAATTTCTGAGAAGTTGGTAGCTGAGTATGTTTAGACTCTTGGTCACATACATTGTTTCTGGCCACCTCGAGCATCAGCGGCTTTCACCGGTATGGCAAGTTCCAGGCCGCGCGTGCGCTCGGGACACAAATGGGCGTCCCTTCTCTCTCGGACTTTGGAGATCCTGCATTCTGGAGGACAGTTTCGTAAAGAACGAAGGCATACGGTGAGTTGTAAGTCGTCTCTTCGCCCTCCTACGATATTCCAAGTTAGAATTCCCCGATATCAGTCCCACTCCTGGGCCTCCTGGGCCCGAACACATCAAAAACCCTCCTTTTGCACCCGAAAAGAGTCCAGTTTCGAGGGTTGGGACTTAGGGTTGGGGGATGTGGGGGTTTCTCGGCAATATCCCTGGACCAAAACCATCTATTTTGCAGAGGCCTGTTTTTATTCCTACGGGGGGCTGGCGGCACCCATTTGTAATATTGTGGGAAGAGAGAGTACTGACTGTGAAAGGGCGCGCTGCTCCGCACTTGGCTTTGAAGCACGGAAACTGAAAGCGTTCGTTACGTTGGTTAAAGTCAACTATTTCGGGGCTTCCTCTCCCACCCGCTTGCAGCACACAGGGAGGTGTCAACTTCCGATCCGAAACCGTACGTCTTCAACCTGCACCTTGGGCTGTTCCCCCGTATATATACTAACAGTCCTTTGGACGGACTGTACTAGGGGGTACTATGTCCCCTCTTAAGGACTGTCAGTAATATTAGTATAAGGGTCTCCGGGAGCCGACTTCTTGGAGGTTTCTTGGGTAGTTATAAGAAGGGTTATAAGTATGGTGACTATAGTGTCTCAGTGTCCTTCAGCCGTTTTGCGAAGCCCCTGAAGATGTGCTGTATCATCTTGATGGATCTGCCATTGGCCCAAGATGCCCCAAGTGCTTCAAGGGCTTCCACTAGCAAGCATATGGGAAGTGTTATTGTCCCGAGCATCCGTTGTGCAAGTCTTGCCACACTTTCGGGTCTGACCGACACAAGTGGTCAGTTCAGTTAAATGCCATGATCACAACGTCGAAAGACGAGATTGAATTAAAGAAGCAGGCGTCAACCTCGGCTTTGACTCTCTCTGATCATGGAATCATGGATATCTGATCATCATGCCTTGCCAAGGCTGAGCAGCGGCGCAAACTGGTCGGAAGGACAAGTTGCTGAAGCTACGGCATGCTGCGTTCTCAACACTTGCGAGTAAGCAATGAAAGCCGCTTCAGATCTTTCGGAGCTCAACTTGCAGGATATGTATATCATCTTTCTTCAGCGCAACCTAACTGCATGAATAGCAACCAGATGAGGGGCGAAACCCAGCCTAAGCTCTGGAGCCAAGGTAGCTCAACATTTCATCTTTGCGCAATCTGAACCGCGGCTCTTCCTCAGCTTGTGCGACCAGGACCCTGAAATAGAGTCATAGAGAAGGCCATGTGTAAGAATGAAAAGGTAGACTATGACAAGTGCCCAGGGAAGGTGCAGCCATCATGACAAAGATGCGAGGTCTCGAGATCGGGACACGTCACAGGAAATGTCCGAATTTGCATGGCAGGACGCAGCGGCGGCAACCCGCCTTCTCGGCAACACCTCGGGCGTCGTCGGTTTGTTAAGCCTTGTCGCACCTTCCTGAATCCTGAGACTTTCTGAGAATGTCCTGGAGCTCTTTCGGGGTGTCTGATGCCGAGGTGAATCAAGCTGGCGGCAAGCTTTCGGATCGCATAGGCAGGATGTTGGACATCTGCTGTTTCAGGCTGAATACTGGAGGCAGTTGGCAGACAGGAGGGCAGTCGAAGAGCTTAAATTAACACCAAACAAGAAAAAGAAGCACGAAACAAAGTAAAAGAAATCTATGTCACTCGGCAGTCGCACAGGGGCAACGTCCAACCTGAGGGCGGGGGGGGGGGGCTGAGCTGAAACAAGTCGAAAGCAAGCAGCAAGGACAGCTAGAGCAACGAACTTGCAGTGCTAAGCTGCAAGGATCAGTAGTTCGATGTATTCGACGCGTAGTGAGTAGGATGAGCTACTCCATAAGGATCAGGCATAGCCTTGATGGAGCTAGCGTTGACCCCTTTTTCCTCTTTTTTTTGCCTTTGCACAAAGCAACACTGGGCCTGAACCAGAAGTGTCTTCTCTAGCGCAGAAATGCGAAGAATTCCTTCCTCCTAATCAGCCTGCACATGCTTGTTGCATGTCCACAAGTGCCGGCAGCCTTCGGAACCCATGTTTGCAGCATGAATGAAAGCAAGTGACTTCGATCCGCATGGAAGGGCGCAAACCTGGCTTCCTAGTTGGCCCACTTAGATACTCGGACTTTCTGGACTGCGGCCACAACAAGACAGAAACTGTGCAGAGGTTCCTCTGCTGCCAATAGTCGGCATCTGAGGCAACGTGCTGTTGGGATGGTGCGTCTTCAAGAATGCCAAGAATCGATGGTTGGTAGCTGTCTGTCGAATCCTTCGATTGAGCTTGGGCCCGAATGTTTTTCAGATGTGCCCCTTTTGTCAGCTCGTTGGCCTCGCACCCTACATAATCCCTCGTGTCACATGCAGTGGCCGGGTTCACGTCCAGAAGTGATCAGTACTGCCGAGATTAGTTGCCTCTTAGGATTTTGACAACGTTTTCGAATACGGTGATGTGCAACGCGGCCTTGGCAGATGCAGCTTGGGACTGCATAACAACTCACCCATGAACGGGGCTTTACGAACCCCTATAGGCTATGGAGATCTATAGAGGTACAGTGCACAGGCCACGCAACTTTGTGAAGGTCTGTTCCAGCAACGAGTTGGCTCTGGCAATGTCTCGGATACAAACAGCGACCGGTCTGCGCCTCATTGGCCCACGCAGCACCAAGATACCAAGATTCGCGGAGCAGCTGCAGGACTGGCAATGCTTCTGACGCCATTTATCGAGGGGAGGTGGCCGGGACGCACACCAGTACATGTCATCAGGCCTCAGCATGTGGCAATCACGAGACGCCTGAGGATCCTGATGTTTTCACCGTCATCGCCTTCTGCTATCAGGTACGTCTACGCCGTGCCTCGGCCAATAATTTCATCAAGCCGCTGCCAACGTGTCCACGCTTCATGTAGGCACAGCTAAGAATTGCTACGTCATGTTCCAAAACACCGCAACATGTCAATGCAACATTGTCCTGCATGAATGAGTTCTGCCACTCACTCGTCCTGCAAAGCCTTTCATGCAGGCAATGGCTACGATTGCGGCCGTCCACGCGATGTTCGTGGCTACGCAGCTCGAGGACACCGACGGGCTGGTATCCGCGAGTTGTTCGATGCCACATCAACAAAGCAGCGTTGAGGTTAACACGAGGAAGCTGTGAGATAGTTCGTCCAAGATCTGCCTGTCCCCCTCGTCGTTGGGAAATGCGAAGGAAACCCTCGATCCGACCAAGAGAACGACAGCGAAACTCACTCTTTCGGTGATGCTTCGCCAGCTTTAGAGCAAACATGTTGCGCCGAATCAGACACGGGATGACGCGGGTTTGGATTCATGTTCACTACACTGTGGCCAGCGGTTGCTGCAGGGAATGAAGATTTGACCAGGTATCATGAGTTTCACATCTGGCTAAGGATCAACCCGTTTGGCTTCGTTCGCTTGTTTTCTGAAGGGACCAAGGCTACGGCAATTTGCGGGGTTTGTGCTTGGCTGCAGCAGCTGACCTTGGTTGATCCGGCAGGCGCTCCAGAAGCTGGTGGCCATCACAACCTTGCAAATGTGCCAAGCCCTGTTGTTGAAGCACCTGGGGTCGGAGCACGTCTTGTTTCAGCTTCAGGGGCTCTTACTCAGGCTCACGCTCCAGGACCCCCTTTTTTATTACTTCGATCTTAACTGCTCCTCCGAGCTGCAGCAGGTGAGCGACTTTTTGTTGTGTGGAGGTGCGAATCAATCCGTAGCACCGAGAAAAAAGCCGGCACCAGGTTGAGAAGGCAGGTAAAACCTGAAAGATCCTGAAAGCAAAACACTTATTAAAGGAAGGCCAGGGTGGCCCGTACAGTGTCACGAAATTTGCTGAGGCCGACTTCCGTCCGTATTCCCGAAACACGTTTGGGACGGAGTGTGTTCGGCTTCGCTTCCTTTTTCCTTTCTCAGAGCAGTTAAGTCGTGAAGCTGTTGTGCTTTCCTGATTTTCTGAGAAGCCTGAGAAAGAGCTTGGCTTTCAGCTCTCTGCATGAACACACACACAGACACACACACACACACACACACACACACATGCGCACAGGTGCAAACCTACACGAAAAGCACAAAGAAGCACCACATGATTTCCAGCACGCACATGTTCTTTTCCGATGTGCTTAGTTTCAGAGCGGTTGCTCTTACATTCTGGCATCATTTAGTACGTATCCTCTGTTTGTCAAGCCATACCTCAGACATGCAATCTGGCCACTGAAAGTGGCATCTTCACCCTTGTCCTCTTCACCGTCTTCGGCACCGCTAGCTCTTTGGTGTTCGTTTCTCGCTTAATTTACTTCGGACTCTTATTCTCTTACTGTGACTTTTTTGAATATGTGGGGCCCAGCCAGCCGCAGTGGCCGCAGAGGTAGTATAGAATATTTGTGTAAATCCGTATATGTAAATCCAGTATGACATGATCTAGCCCTCAGTCTTGAACAGGTGAAGGCTGGAAGGCTGGAGGGCTTGGGGCAGTAGTTATTTGGTACAAAGTGTACGAGCGCTCAACAGCATCAGATGCAAAACTTTGCAAACTTACGATACTTGCGATGCTTTTAGGGTCCTCTAAACCAACCACGATAACCTCAGCATATCATACCTGAGGTTGCTGCAAAGACCGCAAGCTAGCACAGTTCTCACCAAGAGGACAATGGGATAAGGTGTCCGATTTGTACAGTTTAAGAAGAACGCAGTATCCGCGTTCTGCCTGGAGCTTGCTGTGTTTGGTTCAAGTGTTAACAGGGCCCGCAATACCCACGCTTTCGCAATCGTTTCAGTTTTCGTACTAGGCGTCGACCTGTGGTGCACTCTGGAACACAGAAGAATGAGCAAACGAATGGAAAAAATGCTTACAGGTTCCTTGAGGGAAAGAATCTGAGCGACGTCATCCAGGCCTCTCGACTCGAGCGAAATGCAGTAACTTCCAGCCTCCTGACGCAGGGATTCAACTGATACTCCCCACTCCTTGCAGACTTGGATACGTGACCACCTCAAATGGTCTGTGACACAAGCGACTTGGCTTTACTAGTACACATGTCAGTGCATCCCTGCCATGTCTGCCACACGGGCTGTGCTTACAGTAGGTTGAACAACCGCTTGCCTTTTGCTAACTTTGAGGTGCGAAACTTCATCGTCGGGCAGAAAGCTTACAGGGCTTGAGTACGGAAGCATGCTGTAAACCTTCATGTAGCTTCACCGTGGCGAGGTACGGCTTGTTGTGCACGCACTTTGCTCAGACGGATGACCTGAGCTGTCCTTGTGCAAGGCCCAGACATTCATGATCGCTGCTGCTGTTTATGCGTCACAGGGGCACGGGTGCATCAGCTACGCCTTGGATGCTGCGGAATCTCAGTGCAAGAGGACAGCAACTTTGGCACTGTTCACGCACTGCGGTTCAAACTCTCAGCCCTTTCGGAGTCGTGCATAGATGTGCAGTCATGAAGCACTGTGCGGTCCACGGGTTATCGATCAAGACTGCAGGGAATCTTTCTAAGCTGCCCTATGAAAAGTTTACTGGGCGTGAGCTGAGCACATGAACGTGCAGGGACCTCCTGTGCACGGGCGCTTATGACTTGGAAGTGTGCTGACCCGTTTCACTCGCTCACTGGCTTACAATGAATGGTATTGGCTTAGGAAATGTGCCGATTCGTTGTTATAAGAAGGCAGAGGACAGTCACACTGGCAACTTAACATTGCAAACAAGGCGTGCACTCTCATTCACGAGCTCGTTCATGTCGCTTCGCTCTTTCCTATGAGGGGAAGTCATACCGCGTTACCTTCACTCAAGAACCACACCATCATTGTCGACTGCACTGAGCCCGAGAAATATTGGATTCTGGATTCTCCTCTCGCTCCACCTCGCAACCCTTGACGCATAGGTTTACCATGGAAATCCCCAGAAGAGCTCTACAGAAGCATTATGTCGCGAGAAACACATGATGGTCCTTTATATTATCATTATTATCTTCTACTTGTTTATTTCCGCTTGAACCAAAAAATGTCTCTTGGCACCATAAAAACAGCACAGGTCTTGTGTTCGCTCATTAGCTTCGCGTGCTCAATCCGGTGAATCCACGGTTAGGACGGCTTCTGATGGTTACGGCTACGGGCTAGAAAGGTTGAGTAACCATTTTGTTCCATGAGATTCAATAGAATGCAGATTGTATATAAAGAAGTACTGCTATAGGCAATGCCAGAAAGTCGCCGTTGAGCTGTGGGTTTGTCTTGGGTGGTGCGCGTGCGAACAGCAGAAAAGAATAGAATAAAGGTGAAGAATAGAAAGGCAGTTGATAGCCAGTAAGAGTTCAAGAGCATGCCCACAACGGTTGTAGATGACACATTTTGCGAGTGCCCGGTTCCAAAGTTTGGAACCATATTCGTGAGATTTCTTAAAGGATGTTCGTACAAGTTCACTCATCTTATTAAAGGAACCCGCTTCTCAAATAGATTTGCTATTCTAGTTCAGGTACACGCAACCTCCTGTGTCTAGATCCTGTGACCTGTGAGTCATCATGAAAGAATAGAAGTCTTGGGGAATTCCCTAGAGTGGTGATCGGGGAATCTTTTAGAGAGTTGGTTTATTCGCACCCAAGCGCACGTCCTGCCTTGGCAGCTTCACACCCGCCAATGGCAAACCTCTGTGAGACAATGGTGACATGCACGCGCTTACTCGTTAACAAGAGAACTCAGAACTCGGGATTGTAATATCATTCGCGGATCTTCTATTGAATCATGCGTCTGCCCGTATGTTGTTCCACGTTTTGTCTTTCTATGATCCAAGACTGTTCTTCCTTTTTGATTTCACTCTTGCATGATGAATCTAGCGAGGGATCGAGCGCAACAAGCAACTGGCACAAGCCCCAGGGTTCACCGAAGCAATGGGTGGAAGGGCTCAATTCAAGGAACGACGGTTAATGTGCGCATCCAACCTGCACCAAGCTTCAAGATCAAACTATACTCTTCTCAACACCATAGTGAAGCAAGGAGTCATGGCTGCTCACTTGCGGCAGGATTTACGACAGCTACAAACCTTCTGAATGCAGCTGCGTTTGGCCTGCGTGGACTTGCTCCAAGCTCTTGGCTTTTTCTGACCATGATGGTGTCGAACTGAGGTTCTCAATGGTTCTCATCAGCTCGGCATCAGTGACTCAGAGATAGGAAGACGCTGCAGGTGCCAATGCTTCCTGGCGTCAACGGTGCCAGTGCCACTGCTCTCAAGGCAGTGGCACAGGATATCGCCACCAACCAGGCCATGTGATATGTGGCAAGCGCACCAACGCAGTCTGTCTTGCTCCAATTTGTGCTATGACCAGGGCTTTGGCAAAGGGGAGTTCTCAGCTTGGGTCGTTGCCTCAGCCAAGCGATTGGCTTTATGCTAGTGATGAATAAGCTGGGCTTCGCTACACGAAGCTGCACGATCAGTCCGGAAGTCTTCATGACAGGGACGGCATTCCCTGGACACATGAAATAGGTATCGTCAACTCAAGTAGGACATTTCCTAGAAGAGTCCCGGCCTGCCTCAACAAGAACAAGCCTCGTCTCGTCCTCTGCGGATGGAGAGGGAGGTGCTACACAACGATACAACAATGAAAGCTAGGTCCGTGCACAGTCTCCGGAGTTTCTGGGCCAATCCCCGCGACCCCTCGCTGGGAACACGCCAAGCCAATCCAAGACCTGAATTGGACACTTCGGTTCCGCACGACTGCGCATGATCCTGCGAACATGGTTCGCTTGGCCATGGTGCAGGGTTTACATGAGCCAAAACTGAGCAACTCTGCACTGTTGAGCGTGCCCGACATGTCCTGTCGCTGAGGTGAACAACCTGCGGGCGCTTGCAGGATCTGTTGCGCCAGTGCTGTATGGGCAGGCAGTGCACGGTAGGAAACTCTGGTGTGAGCTTGTAGCATTGTGGCTGGGAAGTTCAGGTCTACGCTGCGGCTGAGAAGCGAGGCCATGGCGTGAGAGTCAGCACTTCCAACACTTGCAAGAAGGTTCACAACTGTTATCTGGTGCTTCTTGTTGTTTATGCGATGTGTTCAGTTGGGTCTGCTCGTTTTGTTCTTTGCCGTTCTTGCCATTCTCCTCCGTTTAGGCCGGAACCCTGGGCTGACCTTTGTGCTCGCCGGTGCCGTTGGCGCCCTGTTGCCACAGGTGACGCAGCAACTGCTTCGTGACTTTTCATGTAGAGTTTTGTGACTCATTCTGTCTGCAATGGAATATTCACAAATGCTGCACTTGCCTTGCTGGTTTCCGCCACACATCTCCAGATCCTGCAGAAGTGCCTAGTCCTGCACGCGCTCTTGCGTTGCCACATTGGAGGCCTTATTGAATCAGATGACGGATGCGGAGATGATGGTTCCAAAGTAGAACCAGAAGGGCCGGACGCGTCCGGCGCGCAGGCGGCCCGATAAGCGCCAAGCTCAGGCGGGAGCGCCAAGCTGACGACGCAGACCCGAATCGGCCCAACATTGGGATCCGGCATCGATGGAATCGACCGGCAGCCAATGAGCTTGCATATTCAAGTTTCTCACTGAGAAACAAACTTTGCGTGTGTCTCCCCATACAGCATTGAGATCATGAATTTGGATGGGTGTGAATGGCAACTACTGGGAGCCAACAACGATAAATATGGTCATGCTCATTGTTTTAGGGGGTTTGTTGTGATCGATCAAAGCTTGAAATCAGCGAGTTCCCGAAAACTTAACAACGAGCTCCAGCCTAAATGGGGAAAACGAGGACTTTTCGGGAAATTGAAGGCCCTGGGAAGGACATCCCTTACATGTAACTTCCCATAAGAAAAAGTCTGCCACCATACCGAATTAAACAATATGTGGAAATCAGAGAAGAACGATATCAAAGAAGGAGCCCCGAAATTATCGTCAATCCTCCCATGAAAAATTCCAATATTTAATCTCAATTCACCAACAAAAATCCATTTTAAAGAAACCTTAAAGATAAATCTAATCTAAAAATATTCATAAGTCTTCATCGCACTTCAAAGAAATGGGATCATAAGAATATTCAAAGAAAATGATTCTTCTCAAATGAAAAAAAGAATGTTATTGTTTTCCAATATAATTCAATAATCAAAATTCTTGATTATTATTTTACTTTTCATTTGCTACATCTATTATTTCTTTATGGCGTTTCTTTTGTATATTTTTAATCTTTTAATAATGTATGGTCTTGGGGATCCGATACACGAGCGTATTGGATATTAATCTTTTGATTTGGATAATATAGTGTCTTCTCAAAAATTGCTAACATGAATCTTCAAATCTCTTGAAGATTATATTAAATATATAATATCCCCATAAAAGGCTACGGGCTCGACCTTATTTTCGCTCTGCGGCCGCCCTGTCGGTTGCCCCGCCTCCTCTTCTGGTCGATTTGGCTGCTTGTGAGGGCCTTGCAGGGGGATCCGGAAAATTCCGGGAATTTTAACGCTGATTGTCTAAAAATCCTTGGAATTCTGGGAATCACCCGGAGCTGAAAATTCCCGGAATTTTAGGAATCACCCGGATTGAGGTTTAGGCTTTCCTTGGGCTGTCACGGCGTTGTCCGCTTGGTCCGCTTGGGAGGTTTTGGGCTGTCACGGTGTTGTCCGCTTGGTCGGTTTTGGGCTGTCACGGCGTTGTCCGCTTGGTCCGCTTGGGCGGTCTTGGGCTGTCACGGTGCTGTCCGCTTGGTCGGTTTTGGGCTGTCACGGTGTTGTCCGCTTGGGCGGTTTTGGGCTGTCACGGTGTTGTCCGCTTGGTCGGTTTTGGGCTGTCACGGTGTTGTCCGCTTGGGCGGTTTTGGGCTGTCGCGGTGTTGTCCGCTTGGGCGCTTTTGGGTTGTCACATGGTGTTGTCCGTTTGTTTTGGGTTGTCACGGTCTTGTCTGTTTGGTCGGATGTTCGTTGTCACGGTGTTGTCCGCTTGGGCGGTTTTGGGCTGTCACGGTGTTGTCTGCTTGGGCGATTTTGGGTTGTTATGGTGTTGTCCGCTTGGTCTGCTTTGGTGGTTTTGGGTTGTCATGGTGTTGTCTGTTCGGTCGGTTTTGGGTTGTTGTGGTATTGTCCGTTTGGTCCGCTTGGGTGGTTTTGGGTTGTCATGGTGTTGTCCGCTTGGTCGGTTTTGGGCTGTCACGGTGTTGTCTGCTTGGGCGGTTTTGGGCTGTCGCGGTGCTGTCCGCTTGGTCGGTTTTGGGTTGTCACGGTGTTGTCCGCTTGGTCCGCTTAGGCGGTTTCGGGCTGTCACGGTATTGTCTGCTTGGTCGGTTTTGGGCTATCACAATTTCTTCGCCTGATCCGCTTGGGTGGTTTTGGGCTGTCACGGTGTTGTCCGCTTGGTTGGTTTTGGGCTGTCATAGTGTTGTCCGCTTGGTCCGCTTGGGTGGTTTTGGGTGGTTTTGGGTTGTCACGGTCTTGTCCGCTTGGTCGGTTTTGGGCTGTCACGGTGTTGTCCGCTTGGGCGGTTTTGGGTTGTCACAGTGTTGTCCGCTTCGTCGATTTTGGGGTGTCATGGTGTTGTCCGCTTGGGTGGTTTTGGGTTGTCACGAAGTTGTCCGCTTGGTCGGTTTTGGGTTGTCATGGTGTTGTCCGCTTGGGCGGTTTTGGGCTCTCATGGTGTTGTCTGCATGGTCGGTGTTGGGTTGTCACGGTGTTGTCCGCTTGGTCCGCTTGGGCGATTTTGGGTTGTCATGGTGTTGTCTGCTTGGTCGGTTTTGGGCTGTCATAGTGTTGTCCGCTTGGTCCGCTTGGATGGTTTTTGGTTGTCACGGTATTGTCCGCTTGGTCGGTTTTGGGTTGTCATAGTGTTGTCCGCTTGGTCCGCTTGGGTGGTTTTGGGTTGTCATGGTGTTGTCTGTTTGGTCGGTTTTGGGCTATTATAGTGTTGTCCGCTTGGTCCGCTTGGGTTGTCACGGTGTTGTCGGCTTGGTCGATTTTGGGTTGTCATGGTGTTGTCCGCTTAGTTTGTATGGGCGATTTTGGGTTGTCATGGTGTTGTCTGCTTGGTCGGTTTTGGGCCGTCATGGTGTTGTCCGTTTGTTTTGGGTTGTCACGGTGTTGTCTGTTTGGTCGGATGTTCGTTGTCACGGTGTTGTCTGCTTGGGTAGTTTTGGGTTGTCACGGTGTTGTCTGTTTTGTCGGTTTTGGGTTGTTATGGTGTTGTCCGCTTGGTCCGCTTTGGTGGTTTTGGGTTTTGAGTTGTTCTTATGGTATTGTTTGTTTGGTCCGCTTGGGTGTTTTTGGGTTGTTATGGTGTTATCCGTTTGGTCGATTTTGGATTGCCACGGTGTTGTTTGTTTGGTCCGCTTGGGCGGTTTCAGGTTGTCCCGATATTCCATTTATAGTCTTAATGTTATCATCTAGCGGGAAACCTTATAATTTCCACCAACTCAGATTTAGATTCGCATACTTTTACTTCTCGACCAAAATATGGTACCATTGCATTACCAGTCCGCCTTTTCACATTTTTCAGAAATCCCGCTCTCAGATGCATGTCTCGGGTTGGTACGGCTGCCATAACGTCTTGATTTCTAGATAATTTTACGAGTCTTCCCCTATCGTTGGCAAAATCCGTCAAAGTCTTGCCACCAATTATCTGGGAGTCATTCTTGTACATTTTAGGACGTGAGGTTCAATTCTTTTCTATTTACTCTGATCTTTGGTCCGAATTTTCCGTCCGCGTTTTTTCTCGATATTCCCTAGCTTCTTTTAGAGATTGGCAGACGTATATGCCGTCGATGGAATCGACGGGTCCCCTCTAGTATCCCCATAAAAGGCTACGGGCTCGACCCTATTTTCGCTCTGCGGCCGCCCTGTCGGTTGCCCCGCCTCCTCTTCCGGTCAACTCGGCTGCTTGTGAGGGCCTTGCAGGGGGATCCGGACAACTCCGGGAATTTTCAAGCTTATTGTCTAAAAATCCTAGGAATTTTGGGAATCACCCGGATCTGAAAATTCCCGGAATTTTCGGGATCCCCCTGGTTCAGGGTTTAAGGGTTTTACGGTTTAGGGTTTAGGGTTTTGGGGTTAATAGAAATTGTATAGGGTTTGTGTCCGGAGTTTTGTCGTGTTTTGGGGTTTTGTTTCTTGCTTTTGCTGTAATGGTTTGGGTTTTGTCGGGTGTGGTGACGGGTGGGTGGTTTTGGGGTGCTGAGGGGCTGGGGCTGCGGCTGTTGGGAGGCTTTGCTTTTTGTTTTTGCTGTAATGGTTTGGGTTTTGTCGGGTGTGGTGGGGGGTGGGTGGTTCTGGGGTACTGAGGGGCTGCGGCTGTGGGGCTGGGGCTGAAAGGCTGGGGTTTTGGGAGGCTTTGCTTTTTGTTTTTGCTGTAATGGTTTGGGTTTTGTCGGGTGTGGTGGGGGGGTGGGTGGTTTTGGGGTGCTGAGGGGCTGGGGCTGAAAGGCTGAGGCTTTGCTTTTTGTTTTTGCTGTAGTGTTTGGGTTTTGTCGGGGGGTGGGTGGTTTTGGGCGCTGAGGGGCTGCGGCTGTGGGGTTGGGGCTGAAAGGCTGGGGTTTTGGGAGGCTTTGCTGTAACGGTTTGGGGGTGTGGTGGGGGGTGGGTGGTTTTGGTTTTTGTTTTTGTTGTAATGGTTTGGGTTTTGTCGGGTGTGGTGGGGGGTGGTGGTTTTGGGGTGTTGAGGGGTTGCGGCTGTGGGGCTGGGGTTTTGGGAGGCTTGCTTTTTGTTTTTGTTGTAATGGTTTGGGTTTTGTCGGGTATGGAGGGGGGTGGGTGGTTTTGGCGTGTTGAGGGGTTGAGGGGTTGGGGCTGAGGGGCTACGGCCAAGGGGGACGGGGCCGAGGGCCTGCACTTGGATTGTGGTTGAGGGGCTCAGGGCTTGATCCTACACGCCTATATATTATCGTCAATTTTCATTATTTTCGTGGACGGTTCTATCATTTCTTCTATGTTAGAGTCTCATTTCGGTGCAAGAGATTTCTGCTCATTAATTAAGAAATGGACTATG